GAATAGCTCTCTTGCTTCCTATGCCTGTTTGACTGGCTTCCGCTCCTCTTCCAGCCACCTCTGCTCAAATAAACTCTTCCTTTATAAATTCCCTTGGTCACGGTATTTCTGTCACAGCAACAGAAAAGTGACTAATACATATCAAAACATATTATATAGGCTGGGTGTGGTGGCACACCTCTGTAATCCCAGCACATGAGACAGAGGCGGGCGGATCTCTGAGTTCAAGGCCAGCTTGGGCTACAGGGAGACCCTGTCTCAAAGCAAGACAAACCAAACCAAACTAAACCAAACCAAACCCACATTATATACTCCATTTTCAAAGAACAAAAAATTATATTAGAAAGAACTACTTTACATCAATAATCCAAGCTTCCATTTAAAGAAACAATAAACCAAAATAAAGTAGGGCATGGTGGGACAGGCCTTTAATCCCAGCCCTTGGGAAGTAGAGACAGGCAGATCTCCTAGTTTGAGGTCAGCCTGGTCTATATAGCAAGTTCCAGGCCAGCCAGAGCTACCCAGTGAGACCCTGTCTTGAGAAAAACAAAAACAAAAATGGGATGAACCAAAATAAAATTATAAATCTAAGTGCAGATATACAATTAAACAGATTAAACAACAGAAAAAAGCCAAAAGTTTTCCTGATAAACACACCGATTTTTAAGCTCTCAATTTATAGATGGCTTTTGATTGCATAAATCTATAGTCTCCTCTCTTTTATCTTTTTTTTGGTGTTTTTGAGACAGGGTCTCCCTGTAGCCCCAGATGTCCTGGAACTCACTATGTGGACCAGGCTGGCCTTGAACTCACAGAGATCCGCCTGCCTCTGCCTCCAGAGTGCTGGGATTAAAGGCGTGCACCACCATGCCCGGCCTGACCATCTAAGGGATTTTTATCTGTATCTTTCCATCATTCTGATTCCCTGATCCTAAACATTGTGTTTAGTCTGTTCTACAGTTCTTTTCCTGTCTCTATTCCACACAGAACCACAGGAACTAACTGTGTAAACAGTTCATACACCCACTAAACAGGCTCAAACTGGAATAAGAACTGTGGTTCCTATTCTTGTTTTCATGGGCTGGGCCAGCACATGCCCCACCTTCAGAATCTCCCTGAACAGATAGGGGTAAACCTGTCCTCCCCAAACACCTAGAGGGATGTTTCTAGTTAGTGACAGGGCTGTGGCAGATTTCTGAGGCAGAGAGGTTTAGCCAAAGGAGACACCATCCTTATCCCTGCAGGCTCCACCAACCAACCAAATGGGTCTCATTACTCACAGCCCTTTGTGTTAGGGAACAAAGATGCTGGTTCCATGATCTCTCAGTAGGCCCTAAGCAGGAGGGAGGGGATTACTCACTAGTTTCTGATTCTATTTAGAGCATAGGCTAATAACACTTCCAACACTTCTCCATTCCTTTTTGTTATTGTTAAAGTTAGGGGCAGCTGGGGTGGAAGGCTGGCTCAGCAGGCAACGTATCTGCCGCATGAGCATGAGGACCTGAGCTCAGATCCCAAGCAGCCATGTAAAAAGCTGGGTGGATGACATGTACCTGTAACCCCCAGACAGGTAAATCCCTGGAGCTTGGTGGCCAGCCTCGAGGAATTGATGGCTCCAGGTTCAGTGAGAGAACCTGTCTCAAAAAATAAAATGGAGAGCAATTTAGGAAGACACCCAGTCACATACATGCACATGTCTGCATGTGTAATGGCATACACAGGTGTACCTGCACACTGTCCCATCACAAAGTTAGGGATAGCTAAGAGCAGACTATGAACTAATAGTGCTTAGAATGTCCTTTGTGATCAAGGGTTTAGAAACTAAATAAGGCCATCTAATATATATATATATATATCTGGATTATAACATAAAATGCAGTGTCACTTTTCATGGTACCTCCTAGAAAAACTCACGAAGTTGATGATGAGCACAAACTTTGCACTTTCTGTGAGAAACGCATGGCTGCATAAATGGTTGCTCATCCAGGTGAAGAGTGGAAGGGCTATGTGGTCCCAATCAGTTGTGGGAACCAGACAAGGTTTTCCCATGAAGCAGGGTGTCCTGGCCTATGGCAGAGTGCGGCTGCTCTTGGGTAAGGGGAGTTCTTGTTAAAGAACAAGAATTGGAGAAAGACGAGTCAGAGGGCAGGCGGATCTCTGTGAATTCAAGGCTTGAGTTCAAGGCCAGGCTGTTCTACATAGTGAGCTCCAGACCAGCTGGGCCTACAGGGAGACCCTGTCTCAAAAAAACAAAAAAGAACTGGAGAGAGAAAGTGCAGGTCTGTTTGGGGTACACTGTGAATGCCAGCCTGAGTGTTCTCAGCAGAGGACATTCCTGGGCTGACAGACACTCCTAGGCCTTAGCGGTTGGGGCCCACCAGAGCGAGCAGAATCCACACTTTTCAATCTCTCTAAAGATGTCCACCAGTGTGTTGTCACAAAGCCCTTAAACAAAGAAGGTAAGAAGCCTGGCACAGAAGCACCCAAGATTCAGCGTCTTCTTACCCATCACTTCCTGCAACATAAATGCTCTGAAGAAACAACACGCCAAGAAAAATGATATGGTTGCAGAATATACCAAATTTTGGCCAAGAAAATAAAGGAAGCTAAAGAAAAACACCAGGAACCAGGAAAGAAAAGACCATCAAGAGGAGCAGGTAGGCCACACAGAGAGTTACTACTGCCGAGTGAGTCCAGCCAAAAATGAGAATCTTTGCTTTTTTTTTCTTTGAGAAAGAGTCTCCCTGTAGCCCCAGCTGGCCTGGAGCTCAGTATGGAGACTAGGTTGGCCTTGATCTCACAGAAATTCACCTGGCTCTACCCCTGGAGTGCTGGGATTACAAGCATGCACCACCATGATCTCAGAGATCCACCTGTTCTACCTCTGGAGTGTGTGGACCCTGACATTTTAACAATAAATGATCAGACCTTGGGAAGACAAACAAACCAGTGTCTTACTTTTCTGCTGCTGTGATGAAATACCCTGAAAAGGAGTTACAGGAGAAAGGGTTTCTTTTGCTGACAGTGTCAGAGGGAGTCAGTCAGTGCTGGAGGGCAGGCATGGCAGCAGGAGGCTGGCGAGTCACACCGGATCTGCACTCAGGCAGCAGGACGGACAGGAAGTGGGTCTGGACTATGAAACCTCAAGGTTCACTCAAGTGTTCAAACACAGGAGGCCATGGGGGACATTTCTCTTTAAACCACAACCACCAGATATCTTAATGTTTTTTGTGTGGTGAGTGTGCATACATGCGCATATGGAGGCCAGAGGGTGGGTCAGGTATCCTGTTCTGTCACCCTCAACTCCGTTCCCACAAGACAGGGTCTCTCTGAGCTTGCCATTTGGCTAGGCTGGCAACCAGAAAACCCTGGTAATCCCATCTCTGGTTCCTGCAGTGCTGGGGTTACGGATGTGCACTGACATGCTTGGCTTTGTATGTAGGTGTTGGGGCTTCAAACTTGACCCCTCCTGCTTGTGCAGAAAGTGCTCTTATCCACTGAGCCATCTCTCCAGCCCCAAGATATCTCAACTTTATAGAAATAGTAGAGTGAGCCCGGCATGGTGGCACACGCTTGTAGTTCCAGCACTTGGGAGGCAGAGGCAGGTGGATCTCTGTGAGTTCAAGGCCAGCCTGGTCTACATAGTGAGTTCCAGGACAGCTGGGGCTACAGGGAGACCCTGCTTCAAAAAGACAAAAAAAAAAAAAAAAAAAAAAAAAAAAAAGAAAAATAGTAGAGTGGGGGTTATCAGGGTGGGAGGGGAGATGGAATTCTATTACTTATTTTGATCAGAGGCTATTTAGCCCTGACTGGCCTGAAACTCACTATGTAGACCAGGTTGACCTTGAACTTACAGAGATGGTCCTGCCTCTACCTTCCAAGTGCTGGGATTAAAGACTTTTACCACTATACCTGGCTGGGAGTTGTTTTTTTAATGGGTTTAGTTTCAGTTTTGCAAGACAAACTTCTGAAAACATGCCTCACAATAGGGAAGACACTGGGCACTTCTGAACCTGTGCTTGAAAGCGTCCATGATAGTGAAAAGAAAAGTGAGTCCGACACTGAGTTGACACATTAATTTATTTTTTTTTTAAAAAGAACCATCTAGATAACAGCATGGCCAGCCCTAGTGTTTCTACAGGGCCATATATAAAAGGACAGCTGCTCACAATGGCACACCAAGAGGGCTAAGCAGTTTCTGAATCCAAGAAGTCAAATATACTCATAATGGGTCTTAACACCCTCACACAAAGCAAGGTTTTAACATGTGACAATCAGGACGCCTAATCATGTAACTCTGGATGCTACGTACCTTGGTCAACTGATACACAGTTTGAATTCATTAAATATATTTAGACTTCTCTATTATACAAACAAATATACAACTAAATTAGTATATCAAAAGTGCTCACTGTGTTTACAAGAACATTAATATCTGACATGTTTATGGATGAACTGTATACTAAATGTGTCCTTTTTACTTACATCTCAGTCTCCCTCCCTACATTACATGTGAATTCTGTGCCACACCGCCCCAGCTCTCCAGTCCTCTTTTGCTGCTTTGTGTTCAGCACACTCGGGCCACGCTGTTGGCATTTCAAGCTTTGTGACCACCTTTCCTCAACACTAGCAGGTCTGCAGAGGCCTAAAGCCAGTAGGGAATTAGTGTGAAAGAAGCTCTACAAAAAAAATCATTAAAGACATTGCCCCTAAAATATACAGAACACAGCATGCCAAAGTATACAACTAACTGGAAATACTGGTGGACTGCACACGGAATTTACATGTCCAAAACAGAATAACTTAAATATTAAAATGCACCTTTTTGTTACCAAGGTAACTGACTTTATAAGCTTAACAAATGGCAATATTCGATACAAACCCCACCAAATCCATGAGCGTTAAATGCTGTGTGGCACAGCATATAAACATCTTCCTATGGCCTAGCCAACCTATAACCAGCAATGCCTCTTTAAGCTACTCTAGGATCTAGGACCTAATTAGAAATTTATACGAAACACAATTTTATGTTCAAATATGGAAATAAGTAACATAATTCCGAAACCCAAAAGCATCCCAGCATTTTGCAGGAAGAAATACCCCCAGCGGCTGCACCCATGATCACTTGCGTCGTTATGCAGCATCTCGGGCACCTGGGGAGGAAAAGCGACAGTGCAGCTCAGGACAGGCTAATTTTACAAGAATTTGCAGGACAGCTCATTTCACTTGGAACTGGATACATGACTGGTCGGTTTCTTAGAATATGACTTAGAACGTGCAGACTGACCGGCTAGGCACAGTCCACAGCATTTCCCAGCACTTCACAGTGATTATTTATGGTGTTCTTAACAAGTAAACATTTGCAGTAATCCAGCTCACCCCACTGTTAAATGGAAAGCTATGTTGATTTCCCAACTTTAGTAACTGCCCCCCCCCACTGATGGTAACATATGGCTCACCTCTAATTCAGAGAGTGTAACTCGAACACCACATAAAATACAATTTTAACAATTTTATCAGTAAGACTTCTGAAGTTGTGTGAACTTGGTGACAAAAGGCTATGACTCTTGTCAGTAAGGACTCTTTAAGCACTCTCAAGTCTACACAGCATGTCACCATGTGGCTTGGCTTAGGTTTTCTGCAAATCTATAGACAAGTCAGGGTCTGATTCTACTTTAAAAAGATCTATCAGTGGGGGCTTAGGCCCTGATAGACATTAGATAGGGTAAAATGTACAAGTGACCAACAATTCAAAAAATAAACTCAAAGGAACTTATAGTTAATAAAAGACTTTATTTTTAATTAGGTGTGTGTCTGTGAATGTGTGCCATATGTGGAGGCCAGAAGAGTGTGCCAGATCTCCTGCAGCTGGAGTTACAGGTGGTTGTGAGCTATAGAGTGTGGGTGCTGGGAACCAAATTCAGGGCCTCTACAAGAGCAGCAAGCACTACTAACTGCTGAGCCATAGCCTTCTCTGCCGCCCTTTTGGATCTAGAAACACTCCTCATCACTGGGATCTAATACCATTGTAATGATTTTTTAACTGAACATTTCCTGTTTTGTTTGTCAGTGCCATCTGACTTAGAAACTTACCATGTCAACCAGAGCGACATACATGAACAAGCCAGCGGTGAGTGCAAATACCCACATAGAAACGTTCTCTGCATAATGCCCAATGAAAATCCCTGTGGCCATTCCAAGATAGGCCAGCATGGCCGACAGGGCATTATAGAGCACAGCCTGCTTGACAGTCATGCCAGCCTTTAGTAAAACAGCAAAGTCACCTTTAACAGAAAACAAACAACAAAAAAAGAGGGCAAAGTAATTTTAAAGACACATCTGAACAACTTCTCAGATTTAAGAAAATTGTCTGGAGTTTTTTGAAGGAAAGAAAAAGAACCCAGGGCCCGAGCAGTGTCAATCAGTGTAAGTCAACCTAACTAGTTTTTTTTACAAACTAAAAAAAACTTGTATCCAGCATTTTCTGAAGGCCACTTTGTCCATAGTGGCAAGAACCACAAGTCTACTACTGTGTTCCTGTCCTGCCTTCAAGGAGCTTCAAACTGGGGTGGAGGCAGGACTGGAGTGCAAAGTTAGCCTGAGCTACACAGCAGGTTTAAGGCCAGCCTGGGCTACATGAGACCCTGTGTGAAAACAAATGAAAAACAAAACAGAAAACCGAAGATTAGAGGGAGGTAGAAAACACACAGAACAGTCAGCAAACGATAAAGGCAATACGTAATTAAAAGCCTGTGAGGGCATGGAGACAGAGGTGCTTAACAGGGGCCCAGGGCATAAAGGACTGAGAAGGGGGAACCATATGAGCCACAGGACAGAAAGAGGCGAGACCTTCTGAACAGCTGAGCACACAGCAAGGAAAAAGGTGTCAGAACCTGTGTGAGTGAACACGTGCCCAGAAGAAAACCTGACACAAAGTGCGATCCAAACAATTCTACTGACAGAATTTGAGAACAACTCATCTGTTCCCCAGTCCTTCAGCTCCAATGCATTAGATCCTCCTCCTCCTCCTCTTCCTTCTCCACTCCCCTCTCTGTGTGTGTAGGTCAGAAGAGGACATATACTCTATCATTTTCCACTTTAGTCCTGTGAGACAGGGTCTGGAGCTAGGCTGGCAGCCAGCAGGCCCCAGCGATCCTCCAGTCTTTGCCCTGAAGAACACTGGAGTTAGAGGTGCACACAGCCATGTCTGGCTTTTTAGGTGAGTGCTGGGATCCAGCTCAGGTCCTAATGCTCATATAGCAAGCCCTCTTCTCCACTGAATCATCTCTCTAGTCCCAAGTCTTCTTTTTTGGTCTTTTTTGACATAGGGTCTCCCTGTAGCCCCAGCTAGCCTGGAACTCACTGTGTAGACCAGGCTGGCCTTGAACTCACAGAGATCCACCTGCCCCTGCCTCCTGAGTGCTGGGATTAAAGGCATGCACCACCATGCCTGGCTTAAATCCTCTTTTTCTCTAGGGATTGAACCTCACACACGCTGGATGAGAGTTCTACCACTGAACTACACAGCACAAGCCCTAGATTCCTAACATCCTGCTGTTAATCAGAAATCACTCCTTTGTATGTGGCAGTTCAGTTCTTTTATTTTTGGGAACAAGTTTCAGGTAGCCCAGGCTGGCCTCATACTATGTGGCTTAGAATGAACCTGACCCTCCCACATCCACCTCTGGAATGCCAGGATGGTACCATGTACTGCTACACTCCGACCCTGGTATGCCAATACAGAAAGAGACTTGATAAAGGGAGAAGACAGAAGGGCCTATGTACCTCTCTGAACACCCTCACAGGTGTTATGTCCTTGTGGGGTCAGAATCCTGACTGGGAACAAACTTGCGCTCAGTGAAAGTCAGTTGGGTGCGCAGACTGTGGGAAAGCCCGGTGTTACGAAGACCCTGTCAGAGTGCTCCCTAGCCAAGCCAGCGATGGCAACACAGCTGGTTTACCTGGCAGGGTTCTTACCTAACTCATGAGGCAGCTCGTGACAGAACACAGCAACAGAAGTGCTTAGCCCACTGGATAAGCCTTCAGTGAACGCTGCACCTGTGGAAAGGTTTGGCTGTCAGCTTTTCAGTCTTATCAGTGCACAGGAAGTAAAGGAAATGCCCCAAACACTGGCGATGCATAAATACAATCTTCCCAGCCCAACTCTCATCTTCTCTACAAGGAATCGTACATCGCATCACACTGGGTCTAAATTTCCCTGGGAAGCCACACAACGGAAAAGGGACAGTCCACCTATGCCTACTGATGGGCTGACATCTACAAACCCAAGAAGGACCTGCTACCATGTAAAACACTTACTTGAGAATACAAAATAAACCGGTTTTAAAAGGTTAGGGGAGAGCCCTCTGCAGTCACAATGATGTAACTGTTGCATGGAGCTCAGAGGAACTCACGACGGCACTGGGCCTGTTTGTATTCCTTCTCTATTTTATAGGGAGACTCTAAGATAAGGGGCTCCTCCCACTTAAAAAGCTGGATGAGGGGTTGGGGATTTAGCTCAGTGTTAGAGCGCTTGCCTAGCAAGCACAAGGCCCTGGGCTCGGTCCTCAGCTCCAAAAAAAAAAAAAAAAAAATTAAAAATAAATAAACAAAAAGCTGGATGAATGATCAGCCACGACTGTGCACCTGGACACTTCTCCTTTGTCTGCCTATGCTGCATATGACACAGTGTGGAAGGAAGAGAACAGACCCCCAGTGAGCCAAGATCTGGTTAAAACCAGCCTGGCCTCCCTGCCTTCTGCAGGCCTCAGCTGCCCAATTCGAAAATATTAATACTTCCGTGGATTTTGCTGGCACTAAATCACTAGGATTTTTAAGTATTACATCATCTTCCAATTGTGGCATTAATAGTTTCATAGAAACTCCATGACTTTCCTTAGTCAGAGATGAGTAACATGCTTATCAGCTACGGGAAAATTCCTTCAGCACCACAGAAAAGATTTTACCATAGCAGCAGTCTATAGGATTGATAAGGAACTTGGGTGAAGAGGGAAACATTCTCATGCATGTTCCATACATGTTTAAAGTCCAACCTCAAGGCTTTGTAGATGAACAACTTTTTTTTGGGTGATTCTGGGATTGAAGCAGGGCCTCATGCACACTAGATAAATGCTTTCCGTGGCTAGAACCCCAGCCAAGAACAACTATGGGTAATTACAGTGAGGTATAGGTTAGGCACAGATTAAGCATTTAGCTGTAGCAAACATTTATCGAGCACCTCACTGTCAAAGCAGACAAATAATATTCTGATAATCTTGAAAGCCACTATCTTCATCTACACTAACCTATTCTTTGTTAAATGTGACTGGACATTTAATGTGGTATTTCCAGGTCAATCAACAAGGGACATGTAACGGCATACCGATCGCAAGACCATCGCTGAAGTTGTGCAGGCCATCCCCCATAATCACCATCCAGGCCAAAGTGGCAATGCCAGCATCCTTCAGCTCCTCCCGAGAGTAGCGCTGGCTGTGGCTGTGGGGGTGGTGGTTTTGGTGGTGGTGGTGGTGCAGAATATGGTGGTAGTCGTGATGGTGGTGAATGAGGTCATCGGACTGGCCCAGTGTATCATGGAAATGTGAATGGCATTTGTTCTTGCACCCCCTGGGCACGTATTCATTGTAGACTTCTTGTGGGTGAGCATGTGCTATCATGACCTCCTCCTCCTCCAACATTGCTGGCTGCTGAGAATCAAAGGGGGAGGGCTCTTGGGAATCTGCTTGTAAATAGCTTTCAGGTCCTAGGCATCAATAAACACAAAAAACACGGGACAGAATCAGAAAACTTTGTTAATGTACTTGAACATATTTCAAAGGTTCCCACTGATGACTGAAAAGGCACGGCAGCTCTCACACCCGCAGAGTAAACAGCAGGGCATTCCTAATGAGGTGAGGAGCCCCAACAGGTTTAATTAGTTTTTCAAAAGTAAACGATGCTACGTTTAAGAATGGATTTCAAGTACATAATTCTAGCACCCAGGAGGCTGAGTTGGGAGGACTACTTGAGCTCGGAGCTTCAAGACCAGCCCAGGCAACACAGTGATGATGAGATCCCATTGCATAAAAGGATTCTTCAAAAAATTCAAATTACATTTATTTACTTAGCATATGGGTGGGAAATGGCACATGCTACAGCACAACTACGGAGGTCAAAGGACAGCTGAGGGGAGGGGCTCCTCCCCGTCATGTGGGTCCCAGAGACCAAACTCAGGTAGTCTGCTCAGCGTCAAGTGCCTTCGCCCACTGAGCCAGCTCAGGGGCCCTCTTTTATTTTTCCTGGCCTGAATTTCCATTTCAGTTTTGTTTTTAGTTTACTCCTATTTTTAATTTTCCTTGGTGTTGGGTACGTTCATTGTGCATGGTACTGGGTCACAGGAGGATGTTTTAATATAAGTGACTGTTGTACCCTAGGCAACCCCCCCAACCCCCAAACCTCCCTCCCCTCCCTGCTTCTCCACTCCACTCCTCTAAAAGTTCCGTTCTTTGTTCCATATTAGTGGCTTACTAATGTTGACCCATTTTTAATTATGGAAAAATTTTCAGAACTATAAATGCATGTTAATTTAAAACTGATTAGAATATGACTGTTCTCAAAATGTTAAAGAGCTAGAGGTCTTTTGCCCATCCACCTACCTCTTCATTTAGACTTTTCTTAGTCTATTCATTCAGACTTTTCTGCCAGCTTACCCAGCTCTAAAATCATTGTGATCAATACTAGCAGTGCATGTATGGTACTTTCAGAAACTACAAACCAAAAAGTAAAACTCAATTTAAAAATTGCTATGCTACTCCACAGCCCAGGCTGGAGCTTAGCCCACTGCTCTGGCTTCAGACCTCCCCTTTACACTTCCTTCAGTGCCAGAGGTAATTCCTGTCAGGAGTTGGAGAACAAGGGTCATGAGGGATCTGTCTTTTTTCATCCGAGTTTTAGAATGCAGTATGTGAACCATGGAATTCCAGCTTCCAAAGTGATCCCAAGAACCTAGACAGTTTTCCCGTGAGCTGTGACAGTGACTCTAACAGCTGGAGCTGCAACAAAGGGATGTGCAGTGAACACGCTCTGACTCCCTTCTGGCTACTTCCTACATGGTCTTCAAACTGGGAATATTAAAAATCTCAGGGTCAGGGGCTGGAGAGATGGCTCAGCGCTTAAGAGCACTGACTGCTCTTGCAGAGGACCCGGGTTCGATTCCCAGCACCCACACAGTGGCTAACAACCACCTGTAACTCCAGTTCTGGGGGAATCCGATGCCTTCGGGCACTGCATGACATGGGTGCACTTACACACATGCAGGCAATACACTCATACACATAAAATAAAAATAACACATAAAATATTTTAAAAAAATCTCAGGGTTAGCAAAGCTGTCCCTTCTTTGCAACCATCACTGCCATAGACATAGCAGCACCTGCTGCTCACTGTGGAAGATCTCTTTAGAGAAAAACAGCAAACGCAGGCCAGCAGAAAGGCTTACAGATAAGTAGTAGTCACAACGCAGGCTCTTGTTCCTCTCAGTCAGTAACTGTCTGTTGAACACCTATTCTATGTTGGGCGCTCTGGGCTTTTTGTTTGGTTTAGCGTCTTGCTATGTAGTCCAAGCTGGTCTTGGACTCCTCCTGTGATAAGCTCTCAAGTACTGAGATTACAGGCCTGGCTGTACTGGCTCTTCTGGAAGGCACTGGGGCACAGCAACACTAGAAAATATCTACCTTCAAGAAATTAGGCTTTGTGTGGAGAAAGCCACCAAGTAAGAAAAAACTTGTACCAAGCAGCAGTGTGAGATACTGGCTCTGTGCTATGAAGGACAGTGGCCAGGAGACACGCAGTACTCCAGGATCAGGGAAGGCCTCAGGAGGGGTACCTGTGCTGAGACCTGAAGGATAGAGAATCATGTGGAAATATGGGAGAAAGGGATTCTAAGCAGAAGGGACAGTGAGGCCCTAGGGCCAACCTTTCGCATGCACAGGAAGAAAGGAGGCCATGAACTGGGCAGAGTGAACAATGGGGGAGGTGGAGCATCTGTTCTGTAGGTCTTCTTCACCCGTTGCCCCCAAAGTACAACCCAGAATCCAACTCTGTGTTCAGCTGCTCCTCGTTCATGATTACAGAGGCTCAGTTTGGGCAAGAGCTTTCTTTCTAGTGAATGGTGTGATGTGCCACCCAGTAGGATGCTGTCACTCATCAGAGATGCTACTCTTGACCCCTTGAGTACTGCAAAGGTGCCACTTTTCCTGTACTGAGTGCTACCTCGACATCTTCCTGGGTAGGCGTGGGTAAGTCAAACTCTAGTCTTGAGGTCGCTGTGCTCTCTAGCCTTCACCTGCTAAGCCATCTGTGTCCTCCCCAACCCTCATATTTTAAGGAAAAAAATTATAAAAAGGTTTTAGTGTGAACTGTGTTTTAATTGATCTGCAAAGCCCAAAGGCCCAGCTATCTTTTACAGGTATTTTTTCCATATGCTTAGACATCCAGAACACAATGAAAAAGGAAACACAAGGCAGTGTTGTGTGTAACTAGAGGGTACGTGGATCCAGTCTTTGCTCATAATTGCGCTGACTCATGTCACAGCACTGCAAGGTGATGTGGTGTGACTTCACAAGCACAGGCTCCTTGCTTACTGCCTCTTCTCAGCATCCCGTTCACAGGGCTGGTGAGACGGCTCAGCTGGTAAAGGCACTTGCTGCCAAGACTCATCACTTGAGTTCGATTCCTGGGACCCACACAGTAGGAGAGAAACAACTGCAAGTGGTCTTCTGACCTCCACATGCATGCCATGGCATGGACATGCACACCCCCCAAAGAAAACCCCCAACAACAACAACAACAAAAACCCCACCGAAACCAAAACCAAACCTTCTTCTCACAATAGAAAAGGCAGAAGATAACCCCAGGGAACAGTCTGGTATAAGCTTAAGCACTCCATGACACTGAAGGTGCTACAATGTATACTGGGCACTGTTGAAACTAAGTCTTAAGGTGACTCAGGAGGACAAATATAATTGCACAATTTTCCTAATATGGCACCAACTTTTAAGCATAGTTTTCAGAAGTTTACATTTTATATGGTATTCTGAAGACAGCAAAGGAACAGGAATCTAGAATTGTTCAGGTTTTAAGAAGATGAAGGTCTGCCTACAAATGGGAACTAAGTGGTGTTCTGATGGGTGAGAGGGTACTTGCATATTAATTATGGTGGTATAAGTATGCACTTCTGAAAATCCATAAAACTATGCTTAAAATTATGACTCCTGCTAGTCTTAGATAGATGAATATAAAGAAAAGGAACAGGGGCTGGAGAGAGAGCTCAGTGGTTAAGACCATTGGTTGCTCTTGCCGAGGACTCACGTTCGAATCCCAGCACCCACACGGTGGCTAACAACCATCCATAACTCCAGCTGCAGGGGATCCAATGCCCTCTCTGTACTTTTGTGGGCATTACACAACATGGGAACACTCGCATACATGCACGCAAGACATGCATAGACATAAAAAAAATGAGCCCGGCATAGTGGTATGTGTCTTTAATCCCAGCACTCAAGAGGCAGAGACAGGTGGATTTCTTTAAGATCAAGACCAGTCTGGTCTACATAGTGAGTTCTACGCCAGCTGGGGCTACAGGGAGACCCTGACTCAAAAAGACCAAAAACAGAAACAAAGACAGAAAAGGAAAAAAAAAACACCCATTATTTTCTTTCATCAACCAGGAGGAAGCCTACTTGACTATTAGCTTATGTGCAACAGTGTTACTAGCCACTTCTCAAAGACTCGTGAGCCATTAAGAGTTTCCTTAGAGCCGGGCGTGGTGGCGCATGCCTATAGTCCCAGCACTTTGGAGGCAAAGGCAGGCAGATCTCTGTGAGTTCAAGGCCAGCCTGGTCTACACAGTGAGTTCCAGGGCAGCTGGGGCTACAGGGAGACTCCGTCTCAAAAAGACCAAAAACCCCCCAAAAATCCCACAACCCTGCCTCCCCCCAAAACCCAAAAAACAAAACTTCCTTGGTACCCAGTGTTATGTTAGGAAGGACTCACCCTGGTCTCACACGACCTCCCTTCAGTTGTATAACCTGAAGAGAGGTGCCAGCAATGTGTCACTAGGCTCATGCCAAGCCCTGGGGCCAGACCTCAGGGAACACTGTATCTTGAAACCACAGTACTCAAGGAATTCTGGCATGTTCTTCTCTCCCTGCTTCTTTACTGTGGAGCAACGTGACCAGCTGTCTCATGGTCTTGTCACTATGCCTTTCCTGCATGATGGGCTGCAGGAACCCTTGAACTGTGAGCCAAAATAAACCCTTTTCTGTATATTTTTTATTAAATTATTGTGTATTTCACACAAAACATCTTAATTATCTTTATATGCCCTTCCCCATCTTCACCCTCCCATAACTGCCCCCGCTCCCCACTGGATTTCATGCACTCTCTCATTTATGTTAAGGCCTATTGAGTCAAGTTAGTGTCCCCAGACGTCCCTCAGTGCAAGTTCAGCTACTACCTAGAGTCAGTCTCTTAAAGAAATCTACTCTCCCTCACCCAGCAGTAATCAGCTACTAATAGTTCTTTGGCTAAGATTGCAGCCTGCTGCCTGTTTCCCCAGTTCTGTGCTGGTTTTTGTCTGCTTGAGTTTGCATGGGTCTTGTGCATGCTGATACCATTGCTGTAGGTCCATATGAGCAGGGTCCCAGGAGCTTGTAAGACTGTTTCCATATGGTTATGTCCCCTAGCTCTTAAAATCTTTCTGGCCCCTCTTCCATAACAGTCTCTGAGCCCTGGGTAGGTGAAGTTTAATCCCGGAGTCCTATCCAGGGACCCACACTCTGAAGTCTCTTATTCCCTATACTTTGGCCAGTTGTGGCATTTTGTGTTCAACGTCCTCTGTTGATCTCAGGGTCAAATCTAGCCCTGCCCTTACTGGTCTACAACCTCACAGTGCAGTGCAGCACTCTAAGCACAACAGCCATTATCTTTGCCAGAGCAGCTGCAACTACTTGCAAGAGACCCTCAAGGCTGAGTCTGTTGACAACCGATGTTCACAGAAGAGGGTGGGGAGAGTTATTGGACCCTCACTGAGATTCTAGCCAGTCCTATACCTTCTATCTGTCCTATTACATGTGGCCCCATGGTCTAGGAGGTGCTCCAGTAGACAGAAGGTTGCTGAAGGTTAATCATGGGGTGGGGTGCTCCATCTATACATTATGGGGAGGTCATCATCCACCCTGGGGTGAGACTTCTGGGTGGTATGGCTGTTTTGGGTCACACATGCTCCTCCAAGCCCCTAAACTCACTGGTTCCCCATGGCGCTCTTTGGAGGACTTGTACTTTGGTTGGTCACGGCCCGATCTTGGGGTGAGCAGGCATTTGTTTACATATCCCCAGGGAAAGAAAGTGCAGCAGACATTCACATCCGGGCCCACCAGCAGTGACTTTCCTGCAGCACTAAAAAGGCCTGGAGGTAGGAGCCTGACATACTGACCCACATTCTTTAGCCACAGCAACACATTTTCACATGAATTCAGCAAACAGGATTTCCATTAGGCTCCTATCAATTGAGGTATCTAGGGGGAACATCCTGCCCAGAGCCATGCACAGGACTCACCCCTGCATCACCCAGGTTCCTCTCTGCTCTCCTCACTGCACAGTGACCACTCCCAGCACCCTCTCCACTGCACACTATGCTCATTTCCTGGACAAAAACCACCCCTGCGGATCTAAAGTGTAGGAAATTACAGGTTAAGAGAAATCCTGTCCTGAGGAACACTTGAATCTCGCTCATCAGATGGCTCACTGTACGGTATGACATAACCTGAACTAAAGACTTTTACCTAATCTTGCAGTCAAAAAGTTACTGGGTTTTTTGTTGTTATTTTGAGACAGGATCTTCCTGTAGCCCCTGCTGGCCTGGACCTGGCTATTTATATCAGGCTAGTGTCAATTTCAGAGATCCACCAGCCTCTTATCCTCCTGAGTACTGAGTACTGGGAGACCGTATGTGTGCATGCTTTACCACCAAAGCACTGAAAGCAGTGTGATGTTCTCACTGCAAACAAGAGGAACGGAGTGTGAATGATACTCTAGGCCTAGGGATCCAAGGGCAGGATTCTCTGATAAGGGCGGGCCCTGACTTCTACATCCCCATTCCACGGTAGAGATACCGTTTTAATAAAATGCACAAAGCTCTGGCTCTGGAGCACAGACCTGAGAGACATCTGAAGGAACAGGTCTTGGAGTTTGGGTTTGTTTTCAGCCTTAAAACAGATGTTACAAGTCAGGCTGTTTCTTTACTACGGCATAACCACATGACTTAGAAACACTGCAGCTCCTGCCATGCAGTGCAGACCCACACCTGAGAGGTGTTTTTTTTCTGGTCTTTTTGAGACAGGGTCTCCTTGTAGCCCCAGCTGTCCTGGAACTCACTATGTAGACCAGGCTGGCCTTGAACTCACAGAGATCCACCTGCCTCTGCCTCCCGAGTGCTGGGACTTTAGGCGCGACCACGCCCAGCTTTGAGATAATTTTTGGAAACTGTGAGCTTGAGTCACTAAAGGAGACTTACGCTCATCCGCGTCTGCTTTCTCCTCATTTGCTGGAAGCTGAGATTCGTACTTGGACAGCTGCTTCTTAATCTCCATGTCATCATCATTTTCAGGCTTTTTTTGATTCTGAAACAGTCAAGGAAAGTAGCACTTTGAAATAGTTGATTTGTTCTTCTGTACAGCTTTCAATAACAGTTAAGCAGCTAGGGCTGTAACTTCAGCCTAGAGTACTTGTGTACCATGTGAGAGGCCCTAGGTTCAATCCCCAGCTGCTCAACCAACCAAAAACTGAAGAAGCAGAAGACAGAAAAAGGCAACAGAACTAACATGCTGTCCTAGCTACTTTCTAATGCTATGATGAAACACTGCAAAAGCCACGGGGAAGAATGGATGTATTTCATCCTACACTCTGGGGTAACAGTTCATTACTGAGGTTTGTCAGGGCAGGAACCTGGAGGCAGGAACTGAAGCATAGACCCAGGAGGAATGCTGCTTTCTGGTTTGTTTCCCTGGCCTGTACTTAGCCTGCTTTCTTTTTTAGTCCAGCCTGCTTTCTTACACAACCAGGACCACCAGTCCAGGGGCAGCACTACCCACTTCAGTCAACAATCAAGATGACAAGCCCGCAGGCCAGTCTGACAGAGAAAATTCCACAACTGAGGTTCCCTCTTTCCAGGTGTGTGAAGCTACAGCAAACTATCCGGCACACACACCTCTACCAGAACAAGAGTCATGCGACGGCCTGTGTGTACGTATTTATTTAACATCTAGTACTGACTCTTGGCTGTAATAACTGCCAGAGAGGTAAAGAATGCCTGAATTAAAAGAGAAAAACCACACATTAACCTTCTCGAGTGCCTCTATCAGCTACTGCAGTGTGGTCTCATGTAAGCAGCACAATGTCCTCCGATCCTTGTCTTAGACACACCAGAACAGATGAATTGGAATGTGGATTCTAGTTAGAGCCTAGGCTGATTCATCCATACTGGCTGAGATTCTGTTGCTGTGCCCATGACCAAAAGCAACTTGGGAGAGGAGAGGGGTTATTTCAGCTTACACTCCCAGGCCAGAGTCCATGGTTAAGGGCAGTCAGGGCAGGGACGTCAAGTGTAAACCCCAGGAACACTCATGCTGGCTCGCACCCTGGCTTGTGCACCCCTAGATTTCTTATAGAGCTGAGGCCCACCTGCCTAGGCATGGTTACACCCACAGTGGGCTGGGTCCTCCCACATCAATCACCTATCAAGACAATGGCTTACAGATACAGCCACAGCCAAAGTGATCAAGGAAATTCTCCAACTGAAGTTCCCTCTTTCCAGGTGCCCCTAGGTTGTGTCAAGCTGACAATAACACTAACCAGCACAGACCAGCAAAACCATTTCCTTTGGGTACTTAATGATGACCATGAGACAGCTGTTCGGTTTCATGAAGGTCATGTTTTAGACACTGAAACCCCCATTTCTCCTGCTTTTTCGTTATGAAAACTACTTTAATAAAACACCATTAACATGCTCTTTTTAATTAGCCTTAAATTCACCAGTGGGCTTTTTAATTTTTTTTAACTTAGTACTTCTTTAAAAAATATTTTATTTTTTTTGGGGGGGGCTGGAGAGATGGTTAAGAACACTGTTTTTGCAGAAGACCTGGGTTCGAATCCCAACACCCAGCTAACAACTGTCTATAACTCCAGTTCCAGGGTATCCAACAGCCTCATCTGTCCTCCGTAGGCACTGCACAACATGGGTGCACTTACCTACATGCAGGCAATACATGCATACACGTAAAATAAAAATAAAATACTTTTAAAATATTTTATTTTTATGTGTATGAGTGTATTGCTTGCATGTGTGTACATGTACCCATGTCATGACATGCCTGAGGAGGTCAGAAGAGGGTGTCAGATCCCTGGAACTGGAGTTATGGATGGGTGTTAGCTGCCATGTAGGTGTTGGGAATTGAACCCAGGTCCTCTGTGAGAGCAGTCAATGCTCTTAACCACTGAGTCATCTTTCCAGCCCCAATTTTTTTGCGGGGGGAGGAGGTCTTTTTTAAGACAGGGTCTCCCTGTAGCCCCAGCTGACCTGGCACTTGCTATGTAGACCAGCTCGCTCTCAATCTCACAGAGATGCCTGCCTCTGTCAGGACTAAAGGCATGCGCTACCATGCCAGGCAAGTCTTTTCTATTTCGTGTGGTGACAGGGACGGAAGCCAGGTCCTCATGCACACTGGGTAAGAGCTTTACCGAGCTATATCATTGGTATTTTCTGGTTTATTGAGATAGGGTTTCCCTCTATAGCCCAGGCTGGCCTTGAACTTGGAACAATCTGCCTGTCTCGCCTTTCTGAGTACTGGGATTATAGGCCTGAGCTACAACTCCTGACAATCACTGGGCTTTGTAACTTCTCCATATGCCAGACTTGAGAGACTGTCTCTGAGCCCCAGCAACATCTATGCTGCACAGTGGTCTCAGTGAACAACAGTGCCCTGTGTATTACCAATTCTGTAGAAGATACTGTCTTCAGTTAAGACAAGCACTAGATCATCCCACACTGCTGTGTTTGAAGCCGTTGCCGTCATACAGCTATCAGCCACAGGATGACCCTGAAGCAGGAGGGGCCAGCTCTGTCCTGGAACTGAAAAAAAGGAAATGGCCAAGGAGTGCCTTTTCTCTAGAGGTGGTTAGAGACGATGCTGTAGCAACAAGGACTCCAGGCAGCACAGAGCATGTCAGGAGTCAACGGAAGTGACCAGAGGACACCAGGCAGCAGTGTGCCGCTTCGACACTTCCATTTCAACAGCACTGCCTGCTCTGTGCAAGACGGGGAGGAGAAGAATGAACCAGGTGGATGGGCCAGGTAGGAGGCAACTGCTGTCACTCAGAGGGGAGATGATCAGGCCGGACGAGACCGTGGACACATTTAATAAAACCTGGCTGCATGTGGATAGAAATGACAGGATGTCACAGATGAGTCTGGTTTCCAGTGGAAACAATAGCTTTCTCTGGTTGGAAGTGGAACTGTTGTAGAGTCAACTACACAGACTGCGAGTGTGCAGGAACTCTAACTGGAGAGCAGGTTTTATACTAGTATGGCGACCAGGTGAGTATGTCAGTCAGAAGCTCTGGGGTACAGCTTGGATTCCTAAAGAAAAAAGGCTGGGCGTGGTGGCTCACGCCTTTAATCCCAGACAGGGAGGTGGATCTCTGTGAATTCAAGGCCAGCCTGGTCTACATAGCAAGTTCCAGGCCAGCTGGCGCTACATGGAGACCCTGTCTCAAACAGACAAAAAAAAAAGAAAAAAAAAAAGAGGGGGGGGGATTAAGGAAGTGATGCTAAAATTTGGATGCTCTACAAAAAATAAGCTCTTAACATTTTCTAAAAAGAGAACCTGTAATGTTTGCAAAGTTTTTGTGGAACAGTATCTAGAGCTACTCTTTCTGTTGTTCCATGTTTCTTATAATCAAACATTTATCAGCTGTCTATGATAAACTAGGAGAAGTAGGTAAGACACAGAGGTCTGGGTCTTTTGAAGGTTTCATTCTAGTAGAAGCGAATTTAAAGCAGAGACCATCAGACTTCTCTGGCTACAACCAGCAACACACATTTCATGGTGTTGTTGCACTTACAAACAGTTGGCACATACTGGGTGCTGGAGAGATGGCTCAGTGGTCAAGAGCACTGGCTGCACCCACATGGTAGCTAACAATCACCAGTAACTCCAGTTCCAGGGGATCCATCACCCTCTTCTGGCCACCACAGGCATTGCATGCACACATGCACTTACATATATGCAGGTAATACACTCATACACATAAAATAAAAATAAAATATTGTTCTATATTCGGTTACAGCCTAATTTTAGAATCCCAAGTTAAGGACTGCCAGGTTAAAGAGCAGTAAATAAAATTTGTGTAAAAACTGAAAACTAAATTGAAATAATGATATTAAATAAATTATGATAGCTGAACTAGAAATACCAATAAAAAAGATCACATTTCTAAAGGCAAGAATAATTTCAGGACATAAATAGGACGCATCTTCAAACCAGCCCACGTGCAGCAATGGAAAGAGCCACGTGGAAGATGACTTCCTAGATTCAGAATGAAGAAGCTTTGTCTGTGTTTTTTTTTTAAGACAAAGTCTCACACAGCCCAAGCTGGCCTCAAACTGGCTGTGTAGTAAGGATAAGTCTACCCCTTCTACACTACCATGCCCAGCTCATGAGGCTGGCTTCCTTCCTTCCTTCCTTCCCTCCCTCCTGCCCTCCCTCATTTAGATCTATTTAAGAGGAGGTTCATATTTGTAATATATGATTTTTTTTTTTAAGACAGGGTCTCATTATGTAGCCTCAGCTGGCCTGGTACTTACTATGTAGACCACCTGAGGCTGGCTTCAATCTCACAGCGATCCACCTGCCTCTGCTGGGATTAAAGGTGTGGATCACCATGCCTGGCTAATGTTTTTTAAACAAGAGTCTCAATATAAGTCTGAACTGTCATGAAACTCATTGCATAGTTCAGGCTGGTCTCAAACTCAGGATACTCCTTCCTCCAACTCCTGAGTGTGGGGATTACAAGTGTGTGCCACCCTGCCCAGTCTGCCATGAGATGACTGTACAATCCCCAAGAGTAAATATTCATAGGATGGAGGCGGCTCTCCTGTTCACCTTTATGCTTGTTTCCCACAGTCAGCCTGATACTTAGTAAGAATAAACTAAGTTTAATTTTCAAAGCACTTCAGGCCAGTTATACTTGTTAGTGTAATTGCACAATTGAATCACATGTTGCTCAAACTAATGATGGTGAGAAGTTACTTCTATGAACATGTAAGTTGAATGCCTTTAAGAGTCAGAGGCAAGTTGTTAAAAAGAAAAAATAAGGCTAAATTACAGAAGATGGCCCCTATATAAAATTTAGATTTAAAAATCTAGATTCTATGCTCAGAACAGATAAGTATGTATCCTCTTGTTTAGAAATTGCAGATGAAACAGCATGGCTATAAAGAAAAATGACACCGAACTTGTAAACATCCTGATCAAATGAGCATCACAAGGGCACACTTCACCTTAACCATCAAGAATAGCTCAGGCTGGTCTCAAATTCAGTATATGGCTGAGGCTGGCCTTGAACTCCTGATCTTCCTGCTGCCCTCTCTAGAGTGCTGGGATTATGGAGAGTGCCACCATCTGGATGCACTTATTTCAAATCCTTTCCACCAGTCTCCTGATTGTCTTGCCCAATGGATCACATCAGATAAAAGGCAGACCACCTCAAGGATTCAAGGGTACTATTATCAGAAACAAAGTGTCTACTAACTGGCTTCATACGCTTTATGGTCCAATTTGCAGAGGATAAGCTTACAATCAATGCGCTACTTAATCACAGCACCAAGAAATGTTTATCCACGATGCCCATGGTCTCTGCTGCCCGGCTTGTGCCTTGGGTCTAGTCACGTCTACACAGATGTTTCTCCTTCCCTTTCTTATTCCCCAGGTGTTACAAGGAACAGTGGAGATTGGAAACTTCAGGGCTGGGGCTGGGAGACGGCTTGTGGATATAGTGCTCACTGTGCGACCACGAGGACCTGAGTTTAGATCCCCAGCACTCATAAAAAGCTGAGTGTGGGGCTGGAGAGATGGCTCAGTGGTTAAGAGCACTGGTTGTTCTTGCAGAAGACCCAGGTTCGAATTCCAGCATCCAGCTAACAACTGTCTGAAACTCCAGTTCCAGGGGATCCAACTTAGCCTCTTCCATCCTCTGCGGGCATTGCATGACACAGATGCACTTACCTACACAGGCAAAACAGGCATATACATAAAATAAAAATAAAATGTAAAAAAAAAAAAAAGCTGAGTGTGATGAGGTACGCCTGCTGGAGATGAAGACAAGAGGATCTCTGGGGTTTCCTAGCCAAATAAGCAAGCTCCAGGTTAGGTGAGAGACCTTATCTCAAAAAAGGAGGGTGGAGCCAGGCGTGGTGGCACACAGCTTTAATCTCGGCAGAGGCAGAGGCTGGTAGAGACCAGCCTGGTCTAATAGTTCCAGGCTAACTGGGGCTACAGTGAGATCCTGTCTCATAAATCTAAACCAAGAGGAAGAAAGCAATTGAGGAAGACATCCAACATTAACCTTTGGCCCCAAAGCAAATGTATACTCACAAAGGGAGGGAGGAGGGGAGGGAAGGAGGGAGGGAGGGATGGAAGGGGGGAGGGAAGGGAGGAAGGAAGGAAGGAAGAAGGGAAGGAGGGAAGGAAGAACAAAAGTTAAAATGAGGGAGGGAGGGGAGGGGGTGGGGAGGAAGGAAGGAAGGAAGGAAGGAAAGGAGGGAGGGAGGGAAGGAGGAAGGAAGAAGGGGGGAGGGAGAGAGGGAAGGGGGGGAGAGAGGGAAGGGGGGGAGGGAAGGTCAACTGCCCCAGAGTCATCAAGATGCAGAACTGTTCTACATGAATGCCTCTGGGCCCAAAAAGTACCTTGGAGGTACTGAATCCTTGTCAAACAAAGATCATACATCTGGACAAGCTATTCTAACAATGCAGTCAGACTGCTACTCCAAATCAGTGTCTGATGCACGGTTAAGTACTCAGCAGTTTTACCTTTTTCTTCTTATCTTTAAATTGCTTGATCAATGTGAGTACATGTTCAACCAGAAACATGAAGTACAAGCCTCCTAGAGCTGTCAGACCTTTCCACGTAGAGTCAAAATAGGTGCTTTCCTCTATGTTCTGAGCCAACAGATGACTGAACAGTGGACCCCTTTTCATCTCCATTGCTGGCTCTTCATGGCTGTGACTGTGGTGGTGACTTGCATGGGACTAGAAGGAAAAGGAAGTACAGTTTACACCCATCAGTTTCTTATGTCAGAGGAATTGGCCAAGGCAGGAGGGCCATGTCTGAAATCACCCAGAACTAGTCAACCGTTGTGATAATTTAGAGTTGAGGAGACATGCTGAAAGGTCAGTGGACAGATGGAGGTCTGGAGCTTAGTGAACACATCCTGCTATGCACTGACAGAGTGGGTATGTCTGGCATAAAGGCAGATACATCCACAGTAGTCCTCCTAACATATGGACAGGGCTGTCTATGTTTGACACATTACCATGGCCACAATTAACAGGCACATATCTACTGCTCATAGCCCTGCCCGAAAGGTTCATAGCAGGCTCATCAGGCCTGCTTTGTAAGAATGGAACTGGTGTGGAGGGACAGATGGGCCCTGCAGGTTTCTGAGAATCTGTGCACTGCACCTGCGCTGAGTGCAGCAGTGACTAGCTACTGCTACTGCTGTTAGGAAACCAGCTGGGTTTGGAGCATCCTAATGAAGGTCATAGGCTTCCTGCGGCAGGTACGCCTCAACAATTGTCATTGGTAGTCAGGGAGACGGGCACTGGGCGTACCGGTCTTTCTGAACACAACAGGAGATTGGCAGTGTTCTAGGAAGGACTGATTTTCTCTTTCCACTTAACTGAAAATCTTTAAGTGATTCTTTTTTTCCTGTGATGTGGATTGAAGCCAGAGCCTTATGCGTTACAGTTAAGTACTCTACACCCTCCAAGAGAAATGTAAAAAGTGACCTCTAAATATTACCCCAAATATTTAGTGTAAAAGTAAATTCACTTATCAAGCCTGTTTTATTTAAAAATTCACTCAGCTCATGAAGTGTGAATCTCTAAATTCAACTCTGAAGAAAATCTCTATGTTTCTTGGATATAGACAGGGGCAGATAATTTGCATGTGTAGCATTTACACGAACAGTTAGCAGGTAATTGCCACTGTGGTAGTCTAGTCTATCACAGTGTTAGAATCTGAGCAGGATTTATCTCCTTCTATTAAGTGTGCTATGCTCAAAAAGTTTAGTCTGATTTGGTAAAGTCCCTTAAAGATAAAGGAAAAAAAAAAATCCTACCAATGTGCACTAAATTCTAGCACAAAAATGCAACTTGCAGGGCAGGAGAGATGGTTCAGTGGTTAAAAGCAATGGCTGCTCTTGTAGAGAATCCAGGTTCAAGTCCCAGCACCCATAAGGTGGCTGGCTGTCTGTAAGTCCAGTTACAGGGGCTCTGATGCCCTCTTCTGGCCTCTGTGGGTAGAGCATGCATATGGTGCACACACATACATGCAGGCAAACACTCATACATATAAAAATAAATAAATCTTAAAAAAAATTCAACTTGCAGTTAACATACATATTTTATTTTACTTTACTTTTTACATTTTTTTTTTTTTTGGTCTTTTTGAGACAGGGTCTCCTTGTAGCCCTAGCTGACCTGCAACTCACTCTATAGACCAGGCTGGCCTCGTTCTCACAGAGATCCACCTGTCTCTGCCTCCTGAGTGCTGGGATTAAAGGCGTGTGCCCAGCAACAAATACATTTTAAAATCAACTTTGGTAAACAAAATCTCTAACCTTTTATAAGTAAATATCAACACAGAGTCTTACTACAAATCAAATCATGTGTTTTCATGGTGGAACCACAGAACATGACAGCAAGACGCTTACGTGTGGGAGAAGATGTAACAATGCATCTCCGCTCAGAGTTCCAACAGCCAGCGCCACAAGGAAACTCAGGAGAAACTTGAAAAACACCCGGTTCATGAGGGGCACCAAGATAACCCCCAGCAGAGACAGGAAGCTGATGATGGAAATGGCTATGAAGCCACCAAGCCAGGCTGGCAAACCAAACAGAGGAGAAGCACGTAAGTCACACTTGGAAGGGTTCTGGAGTGTGGCATAAAACAGGGTGTGAGAGCAAAGCTGCCAAATTCAGCGTGGGGACCGCACAACAGTGCCATCAAGGCTGGAACAAATAACCTCCCGGGTAAAGAAGAGACCTAGATAAGGAGTGTAACCTAGTGGAAAATGCTTTAAATGGGGGCTAAAAGAGCAGGAAAAACAAACAAACAAACCAACCAAGGATGAACTCTAGCTTACTTGGACCCAGGAGAAGCTTTTAATTCCCTGAACAGCTGAGTTATAAAACAGGACAGAAGCAAACTGGAAACCCAGTAATTTCCTCAGAAAACAAAGCAATTATTTCTTCCCTGTTACAGTGTTCTCCCTCTCTCCCCCGCCTGGCTCTTCTTTCCTTTGGAGAAAGGGCTCTCTATGCAGACCAGGCTGGCTTTGAACTCACAATCCTTCCTCAGCTTCCCAAATGCTGGGTTTCCGGGCGTGTTGCCAGCACACAGAGCTTTGTTTGCTGAAAGGAGGTGAACACACTTGCTTTGTTTATATTCAGGACATCCAGGGTACAGAACAACTATGACGACATATCAAGAATGACACAGAAAATACTCTCAAATATAAGAAGCATGGTCTATCTGCCAGGGATTGTTCTCATGTAACAAAGGCAGTTCTACCTATTTGTAAAGAGTAGGTCTTTGCAGGGATTTCAGCCTTCTTCTCACTGGTCGTATGAATCAGACAAGATCGAGCATCAATTTGATTGATGATGGCTGGGCAAAGGTAGCTGAACTCTGTTGCATTGAGCAGAACCTGGATGCTCATGCCATGGGATGTCAGCAGCCGTGTCGCATTGAAACACTGAAGGAAACAAGGCAGAAAAATCACAGAGAGAAATTCCTACCAGAAGACTCCAAAATGTAGTCTGATATAATCACTCTTACTCTGCTAAAGCTACATCTTTGTTGAAATTAAAGCAAATTAAAACCAATGCTTGATTTCAGCACTTTGAAACTTGCCTCTGGCAGATGCTATGTCAGAATGACGGTATGTCACGCTCCCCTGCCTGTATCACTAGTCACCTAGGAGAAAGCCTCATGTGGAAAGCTTGGGGATAAATGGAGATTCACAAGCCTGTTAACTCATTGTATAAAGCTATTAAGGAAATGAGCTTTAATTTCGAAACGGGGTTCATTAGAGATTGAGAAATAGGTTTAGTACTAATGCTACCAACTTGGCCTAAACAAGCCCAAGACATGTTGCTCCTCCTGCAGTGACCCTACCTGCAAAAACTTAGCTCTGTTCTGTCTACATGCCTAGCAAACTGATGCTCTGCGATGAGAGAATATTAAATTATACACATGACTCTTGAAGAGGGCAATGCTGGTTAATAAAACAAACCTGTCCCAGCAGGCAGATGTTTTCGATAATTTAATTGGATGACAAGCTTAGTTTGAAGAGAAACTCTTCTGCAATTTAATGCCTCCTCCCCCACAAAAACCTGACTATAGTATCTGTTCCTCATCTTAAGTACCCCAACTCTCTCAGTTCTTTATGAACACTTCTCTGAATGACTTCATTGCCAGTGTCGCCAGACTATGACCATTCGCTGGGTTACTCCAAGCACAGTAGTCATGTACTGGAAGAACCTAAATTCCGGTTATTAAAGCTTAGCAACTAGTTCTTTTTTGCCTAATTCCATCAGCTAAAGTGAATTACAGAGTTGGGAAGTCTGTTCTAGAAATGCCACCTGTGCTGAGCATCTCACGGCCCAGACTTTTCACTTGTCCAACATGACATTCTTGGTACTGCTCCAACTCTGATCACTCCACAGGTCAGAGTGTGATCTTCCTGCCACGGAGACAGCACTGCCCACCTTGCTGCTTTTAGACCCTTAACCACGCTTTTCCCTAAAACATGGATTCTAAGTCTTGCTTCTTCAAATTCCCTGCCTTCTATGTTTTATTAGTACTATTCATCCTTAAAGATTTTCCCCACAAATAACCTTGGTATCTTTCTATAGATAATATACATTAAATATTAGAAAAATTCAGCAGGTAGCACTACCCGCACCAAAGAGCAAGTCCTTAAGTTCTGGGTCAGGAATGTTTGTGGCCCAGTCTGCACACTGTGAGCCCCATGCCTGCTGAGCAGCAAATCTTCCATTATTTTTAACAATAAAAACCAATTTATTTTTATGTCACACTCATCACAGGAGGCAACAGACAGGCATATTAAATAATGCACAACACTTATCTTACCTCCTGAATATTGTCGTTTGTGTTTCTGGAATACATAAAGCTCTTTCTGGGCTCACTCACAGACCCATTGCTTTTCCTACTAGCGAGTCGGCTTAGCCGGCCCACTCGACTCTTCTCGGTGATGCTGGGTGGAGAGGTAGTGTTGACATCTTTGGGGAGCTTTCCTGGTTTCGGAGTCTCTATCGTTTCTAGAAAGTGGGTTCCTTCAGAGATGGCGGTATATACAACTGAGGTCACTTCACTTGCACCTACCCCCTCCCTGACACTCCTTCTACCATCCATGTGATCTGGTCGGTGAGATGCTTTCTCTTGGCTGCTTTTAGGATCTTTGCCAGAACTATCAGAGTCACGGTCTGGGCAAAGGGCTTTCCGATTGTTTTTACCAGCAGCAGCATGACTGTGGTGGGAGTGATGGTCACGGTCCGAGTGATGCTCATGGTCAGCATGATGATCGTGATCAGCATGATGATCATGGTCAGAGTGATGGTCGTGGTCTGGGTGATGGTCGTGGTCATGGTGTATGTGGACTCTTTTAATCTTGTCTATGCCTATGTTCTGAAGCAATTTTCTGAACCCTTCAACTGACAAGGAGCCGTTCTCTCCATAGCGGTAGAAAAGCTGCTGCAGATGATGCTGCTGCGTGGTAACTGCCAAGTCAGCATTAATGCCAGAGTCCCAGTTTGGATTAATTTTCTCGGTGGTCTGAGAGAAAGCAGCTGCTGACTGTAGGTCTTGAAGGGGATTTGTGACCCAAAGGGCAAAGATGAGGATCATGATCACAGATAAATTCCTGGTCATTGCACCTTCCTAGGAAAGGGAAACAAAGGCTTTACCTCACTTCTAAAACAATTTAAGAAACTTCACAATGAAACTGATGCTTCATCAGACTATGCAGGTTCACAGAGCATCATTTGTTCTGACCAGTGTAGTACAGAGGTCCTGTGGAGAGACACACAGACTGAGAGGTCCAGGGTTCCCCTGTATACTAAACACCTGAAGCAAATTCCAGGGTCCAGGAGACATCACCATACAGGCGACTTCTGTGGTGAGAACAGTGACTCAAAACCAAACCAAACCTAAGCACCTCTGTGAGCACCACTGGTTCATAAAAGAATCTCTTAAAAAAAGTAACAATTTCAGAACTCACAGTTCAACTTTTTTCTCTTTTTTATTAAAATATTTTATTCATTATTTTTATTTTATGTGTATGTATGTATTGCCTGCCTGTAGGTAAGTACACCCGTGTCGGGCAATGCCTGTGGAAGACAGAAGAGGCCATCGGATCCCCAGGAACTGGAATTATGGACAATTGTTAGCTGCCATGTGGGTGCTGGGATTCAAACCCAGGTCTTCTGTAAGAACAACCAGTGTTCTTAACCGCTGAGCCATCTCTCCAGCGCCTCAACTTTTTTCTTAAACTGATTCATTTTCCTTGTGCACAAATTTTACATTTAAAGCCCTTATTCCACACTCTATTCAATGTACTCAATTTTACCAGTTTTTTTTTCTGTGTGTGTGCATGTGTATGTGTGAATTAGGATATTTTCTATCCATATTTAAGTAGATTCAAACACAAAGATGGAATCTCCCCACCCCCACTCAAGAATGAATCAGATACAATTTCATGTCAGTACAGAGAGATTTCCTGATCCTTCTGAATGACTGCATAATAACAGTTCTTTGAGCGAAGTAAATTAAACTTCACGGAAACTCAACATCAGTTGCTACAAATCAGAGCACATCTTATCACAGACAGTTACACAATGTTTGGCGAAGGTCTATGCCTGACAGGAGGGCTCCCCTTTCTAGTGGGGCTTGCAAAGCAGAATTCAGTTAGGCAGAGGCAGTTACAGAACAGTTAGAGCAGCATACAGACGCTCACCACCAACGGTAGGAGTCTGATGGTGGCCAAACCCAAGTCTAGCAAGATGCTGTCTGGGCAGAGAGTGGGTGGGGGTTATTGGACTCAACCGGAGCACCGGGCAGTAAACGCTACCATTTCCAAAGGCTGTTCCTTGGCAGGTTCTCACACTCATGACCTCGTCTGAAAAGCCGGTAATACCCATTTGTACAGACGAATACACAGTGGAAGTGCTCATTAAACTCTTGTGTTGCCCAAGTGTTGATTATCGTACTGGGCACAGAGGTAAATGGAGATATACATAACTACGTAGGACTCCGGGAAACAATATTCAGGGCCTCAAATATCGAGAATTCACATAATAGGCAGTAGAGACACTTTAAGAAATCTTTCCCAGTAGAGATGCGAGTCACCGGTGGGTGGGTGCGGACAGGTCCAGGGGGGCAGCTGGGCACAGCGTTGGCCTGCAGCCAGGGGAGGGGAGGATGCTGAGGGCGGCTGCAGACCGGTCCCCGGATCTCCTCCAGGCCAAGTCTGCGCGTGTTGGAGCCTCCAGAAGAGGCCCTGAAGAAAGGGTAGCGGAGGAAAGCGGGGAGCACAAAGCTTTTGTACTGAAACTCGCTAGCTGTGAGCGTGGGATGAAAAGTTAGGCCCTCTCAGAAAGTCCCGTGTTGGGGTTCCCACACGCATCTGGGGACCCCAGGCTGGGTTGAGCAGCCTTCCAGGGCGTGGGCGCCCGAGGCGGGGTCCCCGCAGCATACTCCCGCAGTCCCCCTGCCTGGCCCCAGAACCCCTACTCCGCAGTCCCCGGGTTGCGGGGCTCCCTCCCGCCGCCCCACTACGGCCGGGCGGGACTCACCTCTCGGAGGCCCGGGGCCCACTCGGCCCCGCGCGTAGGTTCGGTTCCCGCGGGCGGTCTGGAGGGCTGGGAACGGGTCCGAGTTCGGGAGTCCCGGGAGGCTGGCTCTACCGCGCGCGGGGAGGCGGCGGTCTCATGGGCCCGGGGGTGCCGCAGTCACCGGGGAGTCGCATCCCGCGCCTCCCGGGAGCAAGACAATCGGTAATTACCGCGCCACGCCGAGGACCGCCGCCTCCCTCGGCCAGTACGGCGGCGCACGCGCACTGCGGCTCCGGAGCCCCGTCTGCAGACACAGATCCGCTTTTCCGCGTGTTTGCAGATGCCGCGAGCTCGCGGGTCCTTCCCTCGCGCCCCTCCGCCGCGCCCTTCAGGACGCCGGGCCACGCGGGCGGGCTGCTGGGCCGGAGCGGAAGGCGCCGCCTGGACCTTGAGCCCCTTGTCCGGAGTGGAGCGGCCCGGCCCAGCTAGCGCGCAAAGCCGCGGTCCAGGAGATGCGCGGGCCACCGGGGCCACGGCAAAAAAAAAAAAAAAAAAAAAAACCCTTCGGGGCCGGGGGCGTGACGGGAGGGCGTGGTCTGCGGGGCCCCGCAGCCTTGGCCCCGCCCCCGGCCCCCTCGGAAACACGGACCGGCTGGCGTCCGGCGGAGAGGCAGCCGGGCGAGTAGTTCCGCTCTCCGGGCGGAAGTGCTCGGGAGTGTCCCGGCCGCTGACCAGCTGGCGTCATGGTGGCGCAGGTGCTGGAGGTGTCTCACGTGTTTTGCTGCCCGAACCGCGTTCGCGGAGCCTTGAGCTGGAGTCCCGGGCCCGGAGGACTGCTGGCCTTCGGCACTTCCTGCTCCGTGGTTCTGTACGATCCTCTGGTACGTCCGGGCCGCAGGCGCTTCCCTGGCCGAGCGGGGTGCGGGTGGGGCGGGCCCGCTGCAGGCCGAGCGCGGGGCAGGGGCACCGAGCCTGTGTCCACACCCAGCCCTGATGATGGCACCGTGCTCTGAACCTTTAAAAGAACCCAAATGTAGTGGTGGATGAAAGCCATCCTCTGGCATCTCAAGTCTTTATTTCCCGCATTGTGGTTAACTAGCGTGTATTGAATTGCAAAGAAATGCTATGGATATTTTATATAGAATGCACCTTTCAAAGAAACGTGGAGGTAGGAATCCTAAGCCCTAGTTTTAGGGAAGGATTTACTCATTCTTTGAATTTGGGTCACTTAATTATTTTTCACCTTTTTCCTATTCAGCTTCTCAAGTTAATTAGTGATGCAGGGGAGCCTTGGTGTTAAAGTTGCAACGCTGAAAATTCACAGGCAGTGCAGGAGATGGCTGGAAGTTTCTTACAGTGCTGCTTTGTTAAAATTTGGTTCCCATTTCTTCACACCGTTTGTAAATTCAAGTGTCTCTGTGAAAATAATTTTATTTACTTTTCTTGAGCGTGCTTCTCTCCTCTGTTTTTTAATTTCTTGTTAATTGCTATGTTATTCTTGAATGGCAAGAGGAAGCATATCAAACCAAAGATCAACTTTTAATTGACCATCAACCAACAACTGACCCAGCCATGGAAGCCCATCTTAGGGCCGCAATTTAATGGATTTATTTGCATCCTCTACATCACTTTTTTCATGTAATTCACTACAATCAGGAGCTGCTTTCTCTCAGACCAGGAGCTCTCCACCCTCCTGCCTTTGCCTCCAAGTGCTGGGACTCTCTCTTCTGCCACCATGCCCCCAACTCTATCACACTTGAGATGATAACCTGATGATCCTGTGAGGGGATGTAAACATATCAAAAGAGAAGTATGTTGAGCACAAGAAATGCTTTGCTGGATACTTTGTGGTTGGGCATTTAATTAAATATAGGAATAAGCATGTGAGAACGGGAGGCCTGAGAGATGGTTCAGTGGGTAGAGTATTTGCTTACTGGACAAGCAGGATTTGGATCGCCAACACCCTTGTAAAAGCCAGCCATGGCCTGTGCCTGTAGTCCCAGGACCTACTGGCCAGCCAATCTAACTAAAACACTGATCTATAGGCTCAGTGAGAGACCCTGTCTTAAGAAATAAGATGAAAAAGTGATTGAGGAAGACATCCTGATTTCAGCCTCTGCCCTGCGGCGCTTACAAACACACATGCATTCATGTGCGCACACGAGTGTGTGAAATACTAAAATGGAGTTTTGAGAATAGTGTTCATTTGACCTTTTTTTTTGAGATAGGGTCTCCCACACTTGGCTCATTCAGCATCTTTTTGAGGGTTCTCTCCATTTGCCCTAGTCTATATGAGTGATTACTTCTCAGTCTAGTGGGAAAGACAAGGAGATACAGTAAATCATTCCCAACTTCATGGAGCCTGTATGTGAAGTGCATTCATTTCTGCACATTCTCCTCTTCCTTTTTCCTGGCCATGAGAATTCTGGTTGGCAGGTAAGACATGAAACCAGTATGTTGACAACAGATAGAGGAAGGGCTGTAAAGAGAAGTCACGTGATTAAAATCTTCAGCAGTGGGTGAAGTAAGGATGCTCAAATGGGGTGATTTGGTACAAGCAGCTGGCTAAGGATCTGCTTGGAATCTGACTGTGGACCTTGCAGGCATCTGATCTGTACAGACTTGAGTAATTGTGGCCTCATGACCTTGTGTCACTGGTCACTGGGGCTAAAGAACATACTGCCTGACCAATCATGGTATGGAAGAACATACTGCCTGACCAATCATGGTATGGAAGATAAGCCATGAATTTGTATACATTAACTATATATTCCTCTGTCGAAAATTATTTTTTTTTAAAGTAAAACAAACCTCTCAAAGCTGGAGAGATGGCTCAGCAGATAAGAGCACTTATTTCTCTTCCAGAGGACCTGGGTTTGGTTCCCAGCACGCACATGACAGCTAACACTCATGCTTAACTCCAGTTTCAGGGGATCCAACACCCGCTTCTGGCCTCTATGGGCACCTGATGCTCTTAAATACACACAAAGAAAGCACTCATCCATAAAAAATAATAAATAATAAAGTCTTAAAAAGCAAAACTTTCTAATTGGTGCATCAGGGTAGTGCTTCCCTGTGGCCCTCAGAGAAGGCGCTGCTTATCTAGCCTGGAGAGTCGAGACTGGCTCCCTAGACAAGGGGTTTGGGGTGGGCAGAATTGTGTAGATAAAAGATCTGAGAGCTCAGATCTTCAATTATTAACAGGATGCTGGGCTTGTGGTGTTGAACATCAGGAAAGATCTAGAGTGAATGGGTGACTTAAGCCACAGTTAAAGGTTTATGACTATAGACAGACAACTCCGTTGATGGAATTCTGGCCTTTTTATTGCATTATTGCATCAAAACCACTGATATTTGGGGCTGTAGAGCTGGTTCAGTGGTTAAGAGCGCTTACTGCTTTTGAGGTGGACTGGCATCAGTTCTTAGCATGCATATCAGGCAGCTCACAACTGCCTGTAACTCCAGATCCAGAGAATCAGACACGCTCTGGTACCTGCACAGGTGTGGCACTGATAAACTCATGCAGGCACATGTACATACACGTAAATAAAAAATCTCTGTTAGCTGGGCGTGGTGGTGCATGCCTGTAGTCCCAGCACTTGGGAGGCAGAGTGCAGGCAGATCTCTGTGAGTTTAAGGCCAGCCTGGTCTACATAGTGAGTTCCAGGACAGCTGGGGCTACAGGGAGACCCTGCTTCAAAAAGACCAAAAAAAAAAAAAAAAAAAAAAAAAAAAAAACCTCAGAAAAAAAATCGATATCTGATTTTTACTCATTTATTAATTATAGAATAAATTCTAATTTACTAATTGGTATCTCCTTCTTTAAAGAAAAGGGCGGTTATTACCAATCTGAATAGTCACACTGCGAGAGTCAATTGCCTACAGTGGATTTGTAAACGGGATGGATGTAAGTACTAAGCTGATTGTTAAGGCTGATCTCAAATATTTACTGATGGCCAGCCGTTTTTCTTGTATCACTTCTCTCAGTTTAGCATTGCCTTGTCTGCTGCTGTACAGCTGGAAAAAAGAAAACGTGCCCAGGGGATAGCTGACCAGTGTTTTTACTTTAAAGTGTTTGAAGCGCGGATAACACAGCGTTTGCTGTAAGAGCAGAGGTCCCCTGTGCCTATAGCCTGTGATTGAGAACCTGTGAGCAGAGCATATGTGACATTCAGATGCTCCATCTGTCCCTGCCATAAACAGACTGTGGCTTTTCAATGAAGACCCTGCAGTTCCATTGCACTTGATAGCACCATCTGCAAAGTAAGGGATTGTACTGAATCTGAGGACCCTTCCGGTCATGAGACTTCTGAGGTTCACGTTTTCATAATACTAAGAAATGGTCATGCATTCATATTCAGTTATAAGTGTGTGGTGGGGCTTTCTATGAGCCACATGACATGTGAGACTGTAAGAGATTAAATAGAGAAGCAGATGTGAAATGCCAGCTGTTTTCTAGTAGACATCCAAGAGATGTGTAGACATGTAAATTGTGCCTCTATTTTTTTTGGTCTTTTTGAAACAGAGTCTCCCTGCAGCCCCAGCTGGCCTGAACTTGCTATGTAGAGCAGGCTGGACTTGAACTCACAGAGATCTGCCTGCCTCTGCCTTCCGAATGCTAGAGCTAAAGGCATGTGCCACGATGCCCGGCCCTATTCTTAGTAATTTTTTATACTAACCTTAGAATACCCCAGTCCCTATGAAGATTTGTACTAAAATAAAATGGACACCACAGTCATTCTTTAGTATTATTGTGTATGTGTGGGTGATGGGGGTGGGAGTACATGGTGCAGTGCGTGTATGGAGGACAAGGGACAACCTTTCGGAGTTGGTTCTTTCCTCCCACCTTTAAAATGTGGTTTCCAGAGATCAAGCTCAGGTTGCCAGGCTTACATGGCAAGTGCCTTTATCCACAGAGCCATCTCACTGGCCTATCATTGTTTTGTTTTGTTTTTGAGATAGGGTCTCACCATGCAGCCCTGGCTGGCCTGGAACTCACTGTGTAGATCAGGTTGGCCTTTAACTCACAGAGATCTGTCTGCCTCTGCCTCCCGAGTGCTGGGATTAAAGGTGTACAAACACTTTGCCTGGCTTGTTTTTTTTTTTTGTCTTTTTTTGAGACAGGGCCTCCTTGTAGCCCCAGCTGTCCTGGAACTCACTTGTATAGACAGGCTGGCCTCGAACTCACAAAGATCTGCCTGCCTCTGCCTCCCAAGTGCTGGGATTAAAGGCGTGCGCCACTACACCCGGCCCGGCTCGTAATTTTTAAGTGAATTTACAAACAAATATTTTTCAAATTTCTTGGTTTTAATTTCTAATATTAGTACATATGGCTCATACCAAAAGTTTTTACTGTCCTCAAAAGTTTTAAGAGTTGGGGGCTGGAGAGACTGCTCAGCCCTTAAGAGCATTGGCTGCTCTTGCAGAGGACTGGCACTCCAGTTCCAGGGGATCTGATGTCCTCTTTTGACCTTCATGGACATTGCATGACATAGGTGCACTTACCTACATGGCTGCAATACACTCATACCCATAGAATAACAAAATAAAAATAATAAATTTTTAAAAAAGAGTTTAAAGTAGAACAAAAAATTGTTAAGTTGCAGGTCTATGACAAATTATTTCTCTTCCATCTCTAGAATTGTCTCACTCCAGAATTTTTAATTAACATATCAGTTGCCTTAAACTTACATCCAAATTTGAGTGGAATTTTCTCAGTTATCTTAAATATACCTACTGTGGACAAAATTTCCGAGAAAGAGGCTAGGCCTTCAAATAGAACCTTCTGTGAGGCTTTAACTGACTAGTGACTCAGTGAGAATTTGCAGTGTTCAAGTCCATAGCCAATTATCTTGGGCCATCAGCCTCCCGGTACAAGACTTAACATCCTTTGCAACCATGGTAAATCATTTGGAATGTACAAGCCAAGCAGTTGTTTTCCTTTGAATCCACCAAGCCAAAGGCTAAGCGTGTCATCAGATCACTGCTAAGGTCTAGAGTCAGGTTTTTCCTCGCTGTAACCTGCTGCCCACCCTCTCTACCAGTGTATTTGATAAGTGTCTTGATTTCTGGCTTTCTCTGTTCTGTTACTGTAAAAACGTCATGAAACTGTTACCACATTGGAACATGGAATTTGGGGTGATGTGAATCTGTGTTCCTGGGCCACAGTCACTCATGTTTGTTCCAGAGTAAACTCTTCCCCCCTTGAGGTGACAGTCATGTTTTTGGGTCAGCACCACTGTGGTATTGTCATGGATTCTGATTGTTTCTTTTCATTCCACATTTCCTCAAAGCGTTATGGTCCAGGTACTTCTGTCCTCCGCAGGCACTGCACGACATGGGTGTGCTTACCTACACGCAGGCCATACACACAAACACATAAAATAAAAATAATAAATAAAAAAATTTTTAAAAATGAATTTTTCTTGAATTAGTGAGAATTGGCTATTTTATCTGTGATGTTAAAATAGTTTAATAAACTGTTTATCTTGATTGACAAAAGTAGTCCCAGGGATGGTGTCCTAGTTTTGTTTCTTGGGAGAAAAGGGTTTATTTGGCTTACATCTTCTGGGTCACAGTTCATCAAGGGGCCCAAGGTAGGAACTCAGGGAAGGAACCTGGAGGCAGGAGCTGGAGCACAGGCCATGAAGGAACACTGCTTACTGGCTTGCCCCTCTGGCCCTTGCTCAGCCTGCTTCCTTATGCAACACAGGCCCACCTGCCCAAGAGTGGCACCCACAGTGGGCTGGGCCCTCCAACATCACACAACAATCAAGAAGATGCTCCACAGACATGGCCACAGGCCAGTTCAAAGGAGGCAATTCACCAGTTGAGGCTCCCTCCACCCAGGTGTGTCAAGTTGACACTAAAGCTGTCCAGCACAGATGGCTGTTACTGTGTGCCAAAGCACAGTTGTAGTTATACTTAGTGCCCACATGACGCAAAGGCTCCTTGAGTCTCAGCATAGGGAACGTTAGGAAGTATTCATTTGGGCTTGTCTATTTTATCTTTGATTTAAAAGTGAGGTTACGTGAAATGAATTAATGTATTATCACTGTAATCTGTCACTATGATTCATTTCCTCTAATAAGGCTCTGCCACCAGATAATTCAGATCTCCTTTCTGTATCAGGGACATACAACATTTAAAACATACCATTTTATAATCACAAGTCTTGTTTTTAGTGTACTGCTTTCATGTATGTTGATGTTATTCTCAAAGCCATGTAGCTAGATAAATGGCTTAGTTTCTGTGATACGTTGTTGTGGGCTCTTCACCAGAGAAGACCACTCAGACCAAGTTGTGCCAAATGAAAGTTTTGCTGGCCAGTGGCTACATAAGGGTGTTGGAACCCAAGTGTGTAGCCCCGAGCCATCGCTAGGGTGAGCTTTTATATAGAGAAACCATAACCAGGGGTGAAAAGCTTAAGTTCCCAAGCTTACAGGTGGAGAGTCCCCTTAACAATTTCTGTTCTGGTAAGCAACAATTACTGTTTTGCAGAAGCCAGCCAAGCATAACCTACAGAAGCCATAAATCTGCAGTTACCAGGTGCTCTCAGGGACACGTTGACCTGTTCCCAAGACAACTAGGGTCCTGCTGACCTGTGTTCCCATACCCTGGGCCAACTGCCTGATAATTTCAGAGGCTAGAGTCAGCTTAAATTTTAACATGGCATAGCTATGGTCAAGAAGGTGCCTATCACAACATGAAGAGGTTGAAATCTAAGGTCACAGCTGATCTTGAGCAAAGTTAGCACATAAGCCTTGGATTCTGGGCGTGTACATCTAATGCTATCTATTTGTGTAGCTGAGAGAGTTTTAATACTTTCTAGGCTGTCTCCAGCTGCCTCCCCTAAATATCTAACACATAGGCCAGAAGAAACAAGGAAATGGAAAAAAAAAATTTTATTCAGCCATAAAGAAAAATGAAGTCATGATATTTTCAGGATAATGTGTACAGCTGCAGATTATCATGTTAAGAGAAATAAGCCAGACTGAGAAAGCCAAGCGCTGACATGTTTGCTTTCCTAGACATTGCCTGCATTTAAGATTGTGTGTGTGCCTGTGCGCTCAGGTCAGGTCACAAAACTAGAAAAGGGGTCATGGGAGGGAAGATCTCTTAAGAGGTGGAAAATGAGGTATTAGTGATAAAGAAGCAGAAAAGGACTTACCTAGGGGAAGGGAGCCAGGGGAGGGGCAGTGAGGGAGAGTGAATGAGAAGGAAGTGTGAAGGTATCAATGAAACACATCACTTTTCTTTTGAGACAGGGTCTCCCTGTAGCCCCAGCTGTCCTGGAACTCACTATGTAGACCAGGCTGGCCTCGAACTCGCACAGATCCGCCTGCCTCTGCCTCCCAAGTGCTGGGACTACAGGTGTGCGGCACCGTACCCGCCCCCATCACTTCGTGTTCTAACCTAAAACGTTAATTGAAAAGTAACTGGGGGAAGAAATGAAGTGAATAAAAATATTTACTCTGATATAATTTTTTCAGCCCCTTCCACAGAATTAGTTTCTGGAGGATCTGATAATCGAGTGATTCACTGGGAAATAGAGAATAATCAGGTCAGTAGATGTTTCTAATTATAAGAAATGACTTATACTTTAAAACACTTTACCCTCATCCTTGTTCTTGATTTATGAAGTGTGCTCATTGCTGGTTATCCGAGAGCTTTCCTGATTTTCGCTTTTCTGTAACCCATGTACTTTCTCTTCCTTTCTGTATATCTGAAGCCCAGTCAGATACTGTATCATCTTTTCTATGTCTTTTTCTTGTTTTTTTGAGACAGGGTCTCACTGTGTAGCCCTTGCTAGCCTGGAACTTGCTCTGTAGACCACGCTGGCCTTGAACTCACAGAACTCTACCTACCTTTGCCTCCTGGGTGCTGGGATTAAAGGTGTGCACCACTATCCTGGCCTTGTTATTATTGTTATTTTTATTTTATTTTATTTATTTATTTATTTTTGGTCATTTTGAGACAGGGTCTCCCTGTAGCCCCAGCTAGCCTGGAACTCACTATGTAGACCAGGCTGGCCTTGAACTCACAGAGATCCGTCTGCCTCCCAAGTGCTGGGATTAAAGGTGTGCGCCACCATGCCCAGCTATTTTAATTTTTAAAAAATCAGAGACCTGGGCTAGGGAGATGGCTCAGTGGGTAAAGTGCTTGTTACACAAGCATAAGGACCTGAGTTCAAATCCCCAGAGCATACATTGTGGCTGGTGTGATAGCATGCATCTGTAATCCCAGTGCTTCCACTATGAGATGGAAACTGAGACAGGAGGATTCCCAGATGTTCAGGACCAGCTAGCCTGGTGTACATAGTGGAGAACAAAAAGACAGACCCACAACAAGATGTAATGGTGCATGCCTTTCACCCCATCACTTAGGAGGCAGAAACAGGTAGATCTCTGTGAGTTCCAGGCTAGCCTGGTCTACATATCAAGTTCCAGGCCAGCCAGGGCTACATATAGTGAGACCCTGTCTCAAAAAAAAAAAAAACCCAAAATAAAAAGACAGACTCAGTCTCATAAGGTGAAAGGTGAGGATGGACACTTGATGCTGCCCTCCATCTTCCATACACATGCACGCATGCATGCACGCACGCATGCACACTCACCAAACATTTTCTGAGATAGAGTATCACTCTATGTCCCAAGCTTGCCTTAAACTCATAATCCTCCAGAGGACTGGGATTATAGATGTGTGCCATCATACCTGGTTAGATTATTAAAAGTTCTGCTCTTCATAGGCCCTATATCCCTGCTTCATGTGCTGTCCTGTGAATTCCTTCATTCTGGAGTAATTTTCAGACTGTTCTTATGTGAGCTGATTTGTTTCCAATGGTAGTAAAAAATGTTGCTGTATTTATAGGGCAGCTCCTACCAAGTAAAGATGAATCTGTGTAATTCTGAGTGACGCTCCAAGTTGTATAACATATGGCTGGGCCTCTGCTAATGGACAGTGAGGTTGTTTGCAGTTGTAACCAAAGATTAGAAGTGAAAAAGTTATTTGTTTTGAACATCACCATGCAGGAGATACAGGTTAGGCAGAGTCCTGTTCATGAGCCAGTTACATCGTTTTGAAGGTGCAGTAGACTTGAATAATGAAAATTCAAGTGATGCCATGATTGGATGTGCTAACATGCTTCACCCCCACCACAGTGCTGGGAGAGCTTAGGAACCCAGCCTTTGAGTTGGATTGTAAAGTATAGGGTGATTGTCATGGGAAAAATTTAATAGGTGAGGATTCCTAGGGAAAAAAAATAGCAGTTACTAAACTTGCTATCTGTATGAGACCCCCTTTCCTCTTTTTAAATCTTAGCATCCGTTGGAACTCTGAGGACACAGTGTCATAGATAGTACTAGATAATACACTGTGTACAGCAGTAGTAGAGAAGTGAAAAAGGAAAGCATCATATTTGAATACTAGCTTTAAGTTTGTTCTTAGGCAGGGCATGGTGGTGCGGCTCTGCGAGCTCAGTACTCTGGAGGCTGAGGCAGAATAATGAGCAGTTCAAGGTCAAATAGGCTATACAGCAGGCCACTGTCTCAAAAAACTTTTTTAATTGTTCTTGGGCTGGCAGAACACTTGCTTAGCATGTATGAGGTCCTAGCTTCAATCCTCAGCACTGGGGTAGAAAAGAATTCTTTTGTTAGCAGGCATTTGGAAATCAGTGATGAGTTCTGAGGGAAGTGGGGGAGTGTTGGGAGCCCTGTGAGAGCACCTTGCTGAATGAGAAAGGGGCGGACCTGAAGGAAGGGAAGAGGGTGCTTTTTTAAGGAACAGTGCTTTGGGCATTGACAGGTTGGTGCGAAGAAATGGTTATCTGATGGGCAGGGAGATGAGTCACTTAGATGAGGGAGTTCCGTCATAAGGTCCTGTGAGAATGGTGCGTCTACAGAGAAAAGTAGGCAAATGGTAAGGAAGATTGTGGAGCCAGGTGCTTTTGTGTCCTGTGAGTTGCTGTCTGCAAGAACAGACAACCTGAAATGAGGCAGCGTGGAGGTGGGTGGGTGTTGGAGCCGCCTGCACTTTTGATTGTGAACACAGAGGTGCCCGGATGCAGCAAACTCGGCTCCTCCTTGGCCCAGGCTTAGCAGAGGGATCCAGACAGGAGAACTCAGCTCTTATTTTTGAGACCTGCTAGACTTTTTCCTTAGAGCGTCCCCAAGCTTCTGATTATAGGGCAGTCAACTGAGGGGAAAATGTGAGGCCAGACATGGAGGAGAAGAAAGGAGGATGAAAGACGTAAGAGGGATGAGGGAAAGTGGGGGGCCACACCCTAAGGGATGCATGCCCACCCCTGCATCTCTGTGTGTCCAGGTGCTCAGTGCACCCAGACTGCTGATAGAAGGAAGGCCATCTCAGCTGTCGTGGCTGAGGAGGACCTTGCACTAATATTCTTTATGTCTCCACCTCCCAAGTGCTGGGATTATGGGTGTGCAGCTAGTATGTTCAGTTTATGAGGTGTTGGGATCAAACCCAGGGCTTTGTCTAGGCTAGAAAACAGTGCCAACCCGGTTAGAGCCACAGCCTCCTTGCCCCTCTTTTTGAGACAGTCTCTTCTGGTAGCTCAGTCTGGCCTTAAACTCTCAGAGGCCCTCCTGCATCAGCTTCTTCAGTGCTGGGGCTACAGGCATGAGCCTTCATTCTCATGAGACTTGTGGCATTCTCTCTGATTCAGCTTTTAAAAGCAGTTCGTCTCCAAGGCCACGAAGGACCTGTTTATGCAGTGCATGCTGTTTACCAGAGTGGGCCATCAGACAGTGAGCCACGAACCCTGATAGTTTCTGCAGCATCAGATTCTACTGTTCGAGTCTGGTCTAAAAAGGGGTCAGAAGGTAAGGTGGGAGGTATTATAATGTGGGCAAATGATACACATAACAGAGTATGTGTATAACTTTTCCACATTTCAAGCAACTTTTAAAATGTTATAATTCTAATCTGAATGTTTATTTTATGCTGTTTCAAAATACCCCTACACCAAACTATTTGATGGTGTCAGTTCCTCCGCAGCCTTTTCATCTGAGCTGTTTTGTTGTCTGTAATGTTGTTGAAATTAACCATTTAACTTCCCTGGTCAGTAGGGCTAGGGATTGACTTCTGTCTCCCTGTTGATCCCAGGGCTGGTGATGCCGCCCAAACTCATTTAGTTAGATAAGCTCAGAAATGATTGTTCATGACGAACTTTTGTTTTTCAGCAAAATGCCTTCAGATTTTGAACCTGGAGGATGGATTCATTCTGGCTGTCAGCCTCTCTTTTCTGCCCAGTACTGATGGTGAGTGTCCTGCCAAGTGAGTGGTAAAGAGGAGCAGTTGACTTCTCTCCCTATGATCAAAGCCCAAAGAAAGGCTTGGAGATCCAGCTGATGACCTCACACATGCTAACTAACACTCTATCACTGATCTGCACTCCTAGCCCTCTTATCTAAATGTTCTCATGAAATAAACAAGCTGGACATGGTGATACCCTGCAGTCCCAGCATTTTCAAGACCAGCCTGAGCTATGTGAGACCCTGCCACTAAAAACAAAAACAAAACAAGAAAAAAATAAACTGAAGTGTAGGTAACATAACTTTCATTACAATATTCCAGTGACCTAAGTCTAGATCCTAAAGTTAAGGGCAGTTATTGGGAATTTTGATAGCTAAGAATGTAGTGATTTAGTATATACCCAGAATTGATATTGCTGCTTATAAGATGAATTGCAGATGTATCTCAGTCTAACTTGGAGGAAGTAGTCCTTTGAAGGTTTGGGCCAATTTGGAAAGCACTAGGGTGGATTATGTGAGCATGTCAAGATACCAGCCCTTCAGGTCCTGCGGAATGAGATGACCTCTGTGCCTGACCTCTTCATCCTCCACAGAGGTAGCGATGGACATGAGACAGCCTTTCTCTGCCTCCTCCCTTCCCCGTGGAGGGAGGCCTGGAAGCAGTGGTCTCTGTCTCTGCCCTGTGTGGCAGGAGATGGGACTGCATGACTCTGTGCTGCTTCTTTATGCAAAGGTTCCAGGGTGGAGTGTCTGCAGACGCTCTGATGTCTGCACTTCTTCCCATAGTCCGGTCAGGGGACGAGAGTTGGTTTCTAACAGTGCTTTAAAGAGAGATGACTCTGAGACAGTTTGCAGCAGAGCATTCCTTGCAGAGTCCCATTTACCTCGCTCTAGAGGCCTTCAGACTGCCCTTCCGTGATGGTAGCTTCAGAGCGCTTTAGTTGCCCTTCAGAGCTTCTCTGTATTTGGTTCTATGCTCTTATTTTATCATTTAATTCATCCTTGAGCTCAATGTGAAGTCCTTACAGCAGGCTGATGCCGGCCTCTTTCGTTTGCAGCCAGGCAACTTGTTTGTTGTCCTTTCAACTGTGTGTGAGAGAGCACAAGTACCGTGCTCCAAATGTGGAGGCTAGAGGACAGTGTGGGTGGGTCGGTTTTCTTCTACTTGGTTCTAAGGCACAGTCTCCCTTTTTTCTGCACTGTTCTCTTTACTCAAGGTGAGCTGGCCCGTGAACTTTCAGCCAATTCTTCTGTCCCTGCCTCCTGTCTCACCATAGAAGTGCTGAGATAGTTGATGTGTGCCACCCCCAATCCAGCTTTTTTACATCAGTTCCGGGAATTGAACACTTCCCCATCCCACTGTTCATCTCCCATCCTGCTCTTCGTCTCCCATCCTGCTCTTCGTCTCCCATCCTGCCCTTCATCTCCCATCCTGCTCTTCGTCTCCCATCCTGCTCTTCATCTCCCATCCTGCTGTTCATCTCCCATCCCACTGTTCATCTCCCATCCTGCTCTTCATCTCCCATCCTGCCCTTCATCTCCCATCCTGCTGTTCATCTCCCATCCTGCCCTTCATCTCCCATCCTGCCCTTCATCTCCCATCCTGCCCTTCATCTCCCATCCTGCTCTTCATCTCCCATCCCTGCTGTTCATCTCCCCAGCCCCTGCTTGTTCTTGAGCTTCTTTTCTTCTCCTGTCATAAACAATGCCCAATGGAGATGCTAATTGTCTAGCATCTGCCTGTGACCACCCACTAGACCATGCTAGACTTTCCATTCCTGGAGGTAGGTTTGCCCACTTTCAATTTATTGGTTCCACAATCTGGGGAGTGGAAGTCGGGATTCTTTACCCAGTGTTGTGGTGTTTACAGCAATGTGTCTTTCCTCCCCAGTGCCAGTATTAGCATGTGGTGATGATGACTGCAAAATTCAATTATTTGCTCAACAGGATGATCAGGTAATGAATGCTTTTCATAAGAGACTACAATTATGTTTTGCTTAGTGACATATCTTAATACAGACTTTCTACATTATAAAACTTTAGGAATGTTGTAATTCAGGCCAATAATCAGCAGGGTAATATTTTGACAGTGCTCTGTTAGATGGTCTTTTACTCTCTGACCACATGGAACAGCTCCCTTGACTACCAGACCCAGAGTTATTGGAGGAAAGCTGGTGGTTCTGCGGGGGAAGGGTTGAAGAGCAATGCCGAGCTGTGTTTTTTTCTTAAAAAGTTGAGGTGAAACCTAACAGCTGAGTGACGCCTTCTGGTTGTGCTCGGTTGTCCTCGAGCTGCGCCTCTGCTTTGGATAAACTAAAGAGAGAGGTCCCAGAAACAGTTGTTAGCTCTGGGCCCTTGTCTCCTTTCATTCTGTAAGAAATTTAAAGTGGTTGTTAAGTCCAGCTGTCCAGCCTTTTCTGTACTGTGTCCAGAGATACACTATTCACCTTAGAAACGTTTTAGTTATTGAGACTTGCAGATCATGTCTACTCAGAGTTGCTCAGTTAATCACTAGGTATTATATGATGAGATTTTTCATTCCCAAAGGAGTGCTTTACTCTGGGTCTAGTCCAGTGGTGTTCTTAGTAGGAGTAATGCAACAGGACTGTCCGGGGCCATATGAAGTCACTGAGACACCTGAAAGTGATAACGTCTTACCTCAAGCCTGCTGATTTTTGTGATCTTCCTAGTTTCAGAAAGTACTTTTTCTCCATGGACATGAGGACTGGATCAGAGGCGTGGAATGGGCAGCCTTCGGTCAGTGTGACATTTTACCAGGCATGCACATGGAAGGGACGAGTTCGTGTAACTTCAGGAAAGCAGCTGCTCCAGCCTTACATTCCATTGTCTGTTGTCCCAGTTAGAAAAGGGGAGAGAGAGAGAGAGGGAGAGAGAGAGAGAGAGAGAGAGAGAGAGAGAGAGAGAGAGAGACTGTCTGTGTGTCTGTCTGTGTGTCTCTGTTGCATGTGGAGATCAGAAGACAACTGGCAGGAGTTGGTTCCTTCATTCCATCATGTGGGACCTGGGGATCCACAAGTACCTTTACGTACTGAGTCGTCGCACTGGCCCAGATAACTCTTTAGTTAGTTAATTGGGTGGCAGAGGATGAAACAAATCGATGTTTACTAGATGATACTAGCTGTCTTCTGATGTTCTATGAGTACCACTTGTGTAAATATTTATTAGCATCCGTGTATTTGTTAGTGCTACTAAAAATAGATGCCAGTCACATAAATGGAGGAAGGAAACAAAGGCAGCATTTTTGGAAATCTGGAACTAGGTACATTGTAAAGGAGAACGTCTTCACCTGTTTAACCTACATAATGTTTTTAAAATGAATGAAACGTCTTTTTAATTAGGTGGAGATCTCTTCCTAGCAAGCTGCTCACAGGATTGCCTGATAAGGATATGGAGGCTATGTATGAAGTCATCTTCAGAGACTCAAGATGATGAGATAAGACTGAAGGAAAACACTTTCACCGTGAGAGATGGAAGTGAGTAGCAGAGACGTAGCTGACGAAGCGACTCGCCCGGCTGCTGGCCTGGTTGTCCCACACACCTGTGTAGAGACCAGCTTTTTGTGTTTATGTTGGCTCTGTTGCTTTTCATATCTGGCACATACTTTCTGTAAATTGTATTACTCAGGTCTTTTTAATTATTGAAAGTTATGTTTAGTGTTCCTCAATAAGTTAATTTGTAAAGTGTTGAAAGTTTAGCTGGGAAGCCCTGAGGAATAGTGTGAGTCACCCATACTTCCGTTGGAGCATGTTTATGAGAAGGGAGTTGAAGTCTTCCCTTTTTTGACTACTGTATATAACTCTGATGTTTTTATGGTTTAGTGATAGCATGGCCCCCCGCACCCAGTAGATCCTGCTGGGTCCTGTTGGAGCATTGGACTGTTTGAGTTTGTTTATTCAGTTCTAAAGTCAGTCCTCATGAAGCATCATTCATTAAGTGTCGTGTTTCTTTGTTACCATTAGTTGTGAAGCCCATTATAATTACGACTTTGATGACAGAGTTTTGTGGGGAAAACTAAGAAATGATATAGCCAACATATTATGAATATCTATCGAGTGCCGAAATATGAAAATTTTCATTTATTTGTTTTTTTTAATTTAATTTACATGAATGTAAATGCATTCATGTTGTGTAATGCCTGTGGAGGTCAGAAGAAGGCATTGGATCCCCTGGAACTGGAGTTACAGATGGTTGTTAGCTACCATGTGGGTGCTGGGAACTGAGCCCAGGTCCTCTGAGCCATCTCTCCAGGAGCCTCATATTTATTTGTTTTTAAAGTCTATAATACTGATTTAGTTTCCCTTATTTCTTCATTTATGTGAAAGATTTTAGATGATGGTTTAAGCCATTATGTTTGGTAGTGTGGGGAAAGGAGGAAGCTGACTTGTCTGTTTTTGCTGTCCATTTAAGACAGTGTCTCAGGGATCCCAGGCTGACCTCTAGCTCAGTATGCAGCCTAGGCTGCCCTTGAGCTCCTGATCCTGCTTCTACCTTCTATGTGCTGGAATTACAGGGATGTACCACCACATCCAGTTTATGTGGTACTAGGGATTGGAACTAGGGTTCTGCACATGCTAGCAACTGGATTGTATCCCCCAGCCCTTATTTTGTTTAAAAAATTGGGAGGGTTGCTATTTACTGTTTTGGTAGTGCTAGAAACTGAACCTGAGGCCTTGCATGCGCTGTACGTGCTTGGCAGGTGTTGAACCACAGAGCTACACCCAGCCCTGGTGTTTGAAGTAGCATATAAGAACATAGGAATTGTACAAGTGCTGTTTCAACACGTACATCATATATGGTTTTGCTTTTTGTTTGTTTGAGACCGGTTCTACCTGTAGTCTTAGCTGGCCTAGAACTTGGTCTGTAGACCAGGTTGGCCTTGATCTCACAGAGATCCGCCTGCCTGTCTTGGAATTAAAGGTGTGTGCCACTACACCCAGCTATAGTTTTGCTTTTTAAAATTCAGTTTAACTGCTGTTTCATAAAATTTTCATACAGTGAAACATATTCTTTAATATTTATTTATGCCCAGATAGAGAAACACATAGGAGGAGATTCATGTTTAGAACTTATTTTCATAATTTTGAATAGTGGGTGAGGCTAATGAAATTTAGACTGCGTGATGATATTTTGTTGACTCTATGTTTTCTGATTTTTTGAAATTAATTTTAAAAATCTTTTGGATTTTTAATTTATTTTTACTTTATGTGTTTGAGTGCTATTCCTGCATGTGTGTAAGTGCACCTGTGTCATGCAGTGCCTGTGGAGGACAGAGAAGGATCTGGAGTTATGGATGGTTGTTAGCCGGGTGCTGGGATTGGAACTCCGGTCTTCTGCAAGACTAGCCGATGCTCTTAATTGCTGGGCCATCTCCAGCCCCTTGGGTTTTATTTTTGAGACAGGGTGTCTCTGTAGCCCCAGCTGGCTCAGTATGTAGACCAGGCTGACCTCAATCTCACAGAGATCCACCTGTCTCTTAAAGGGATACACCTACCATGCCTGGCTTTTTTCTTTTTTTTTTAAATTTATGCGTATGAGCGTTTTGCTTGTGTGTGTGATGCAGTGTCTGTGAAGACCAGAAGAGGGTGTCAGGATCCCATGGGACTGGAGTAATAGACAGTTGTTAGCTGCCATGTGTGTGCTGGGAACACAGGTCCTCTGCAAGAGCAGCCAGGGCTCTTAACTGCTGAGCCATCTCTCTAGACCCTTGTTCTAATTTCTTGACATAATTTCACAACTGACTTAATTGTGCAAATACTCTTTTTAAAAGAGCTTTAAGGAAAGGTACCTTCCTTGTGTTTGTTGTAGATATTAACAGGACATTTGCAGTTACTCTGGAGACTGTGCTGGCTGGACATGAAAATTGGGTAAACGCAGTTCATTGGCAACCTTCATTTTGCAAAGGTAGGAGAAAAGCAAACACCATCTCTTGCTTCATTAGATCTAACGGTATTTTCAGCTGACTAGCTGAAGTGGAGTACGATTAGAAATCTTAATATAAGGCTTTTTTGGAGGTGGGGGGCTTTTTGAGACAGGGTTTCCCTGTAGCCCCAGCTGGCCTGGAACTTGCTATGTAGACCAGGCTGACCTCGAACTCACAGAAATTCACCTGCCTCTGCCTCCCAAGTGTTGGAATTGAAGGCCTGCTCTCCACCATTCCCTGCTAATATAAAGTGTTTCCAAGCTGCCCCATGTTAAGACTGCACATTCCTGGTGTGCTGACATTTAGCTTCATTGAAAATTGCACTCAGGTGACCATGATGCTCCATGATGCTTAAATCACCACACGCCTGTTAACTTTCCTTCTTTAAAAGTTTCTGTGTAACTTGAGGGTTTAAGTTCACTCCCTCCCACGTCACTGGAACCTTCAGCCTTGGTAGTGTGTGTAGTGAGAGAGATACAAAAAAACAAAAACAAACAAACAAAAAACCCCTCCCTTTCTTCCTTTCTTCCCACAGCTCAAGTTTAATTTCAAACTAAGAAAGGTCTTGCCAAGTGTGGTGGTGCACGGTCCCAGCACCAGGGAAGTGAGGCCGAAGGGTTATGAGTTTGAGGCCAGGCTGACCTACATAGTGAAACCCTGTTTCAAAGAAAAATGAGAATGAGCTATGAGCATGGTAACACATACCTGCAATTCTTTTTTTTTTTTTTTTTTTTTTTTTTTTTGAGACAAGGTCTCCCTGTAGCCCCAGCTGACCTGGAACTCGCTAAGTAGACCATGCTGGCCTCAAACTCACAGAGATCCACCTGCTTTTGCCTCCTAAGTGCTGGGATTAAAGGCGTGTGTCACCATGCCCAGCCTCACATCTCTGTAATTCTAACAGTCAGGAGGCAGGAGGATTGTAAGATCTAGGCCAGCCCTGAATAGTGAGACCTTGTTTCACACACACTGGCAGCTCACAGCTGTCTGTAACTCTAGTTCCAGGGGATCTGACGGCTTCTTCTGTCCTCTGTAGGCATTGCACGACATGGGTGCACTCACCTACATGCAGGCAATACACTCATACACATAAAATATAAATAATAAATAAAATATTAAAAAAAAAAACAGACGTTTTGGCTGAGCTCTTACGTCACCCCCAGTTGATGAGACTGAAAATCAAAATGAAATCACTCATTTTATAGTTTCACATTCCCAAGCTGAAATTAAGGGTTTTTTTTGTTTTATTTTTTGTTTTTTAACTCACTATGAAGACCAGGCTGGCCTTGAACTCACAGAGATCCGCCTGCCTCTGTCTCCCCAGTGCTGGGATTAAAGCTGTTCATTACCATGCCTGGCTGAAACTAAGTGTTTTATCTGAACTTTCTAAGAAAAAGACATCAGTATTCGAGAAATGACTGCCAGTTTTTCCATAGTTCAAGAACCTGTGTGTCCTTTAGACCATTGAGCCCATTCTCCAGTGGAGACAACGAAAGCCCTGAGTTCAGTGTGGATCAGTCCTGACATGTTGAATTTCTGTTACATATTCATATAGCCATAAATAACATTGCTTTAGTTGATAAAACTTGGTATCAGTGTGTTTATCCCTTTGCATCATGCTTTTTAAAACAAGTCTTGGAGCTCTATCCCTGTTCCGTGTAGCCCTAGTTTTTTTATTGCACTGCAATATTCCATTGTCTGAATGTATCACAACCCACCTGTTCTTCTGGTAGATCTTTGCAGTTGAGCCTGGAACTTACTGTGTAGCCCAGGCTGGCCTTGAGCCTGAAGCAGTTCTCCTGCCTTGGCCCCCTAAGTGCTGGAATGAGAAGATGTGAGCCTGCACACATGGCTTTGCACATTTTCCTGTTGTGAACAGTGCTACAGTCTTTTCTGTGCACCTGCTCTGTCCTGGCAGTCTTGAACACTGCACTTGCTGATCACCTAAAGGTATTGTTTTTATTTAGATGGTGTTCTGCAGAAGCCAATGAGATTGTTGTCTGCCTCCATGGATAAAACCATGATTCTTTGGGCTCCAGATGAAGAGTCAGGAGTTTGGTTAGAACAGGTAAAATGTGGATATTTAAGAACACAAAATTGAACTTTTAAAGTAAATGTATAAACGAAAGCTGTCTCCTAGAACTATAAATTTTCACTCTTTGCACACATTAAATGAGTTGAATTTAGTCTCTAGAATCTATATCCGTTGTAAAGAATGGGCTTATTGATTGAGAATCATTTCTGTCTGTTGTGTAGGTTCGAGTAGGTGAAGTAGGTGGAAATACCCTGGGGTTTCACGATTGCCAGTTCAGTGAGGACGGCTCCATGATCGTGGCTCATGCTTTCCATGGAGCACTGCACCTTTGGAAGCAGAGTGCAGTGAACCCGGTAAGAACGCACTTCCAGACCTCACTGATAACACTGCAGAAATGTAGTAGGCACATTTAAGTGGAGATGGCATCACATTTATTTGTTTATTTTAAGTTTATTTTATGTAAATGAGTGTTTTGCCTGTATGTATATAAGTGCACCATGTGAAAACAGAGCCCATAAAAGCCAGAAGGGAGTGTTGAATCCTTTGGAAATGGAGTTATGGATGGTTGTTAGCTGCCATGTGGGTGCTGGGAACTGAACCTGGGTCCTCTGCAAGAGCAGCCAGTGCTTTAACTGCTGAGCCATCTCTCCAGCTTCACCATCACTATGTCTATGGGTATCTATTATCACACTAGATAAAAAAGCTTGGGCTTTTCTAGGAAGAAAACTAGAGTTGAGCAGCAGTGCTCAGGTATTGAATGATGATGCTTGGATATTGTTTATGTGGGGTTGGAATGCAACTCAGTGGCATTTGTCTAGCACCCCGCCCCAGATATACAGATGAGCCACGCATGGTAGTATATGCCTTTAATCCCAGCACCTGGGCAGCAGAGGCAGGCTGGCCTCTGAGTTCAATGCCAACCTGGTCTTCATAGTGAGTTCCAGGCCAGCCAGGGCTACGTAGTGAGACCCTGTCTCAAAAATATAGATGAAAGTCGGGGTCTAGATACTAGAGAAGTATACTTTAAATAATAAAGAAGTGTGAATGTTGAGTGAAATGTGACTCATCAGATTTTGAATTTGTATCTAATAGCTTACTTTTGAAGAAAAATTTAGTTTTTGTGTGTATAAGTGTATTGCCTGCATGTGTATAGATGTACCTGTGTCATGCAGTGCCTGTGGAGTCAGAAGAAAGAGTTGGATTCTCCTGGAACTGGAGTTACAGATGGTTGTTCACCACCATGTGTGTGCTGGGAATCGAACCCAGGTCCTCTGCAAGATCAGTTAGTTACTTAGAGTTATCTCTCCAACCCTATAGCTTCCTTTTTAAAAAAACATGTTTTACATTTGTTTCTACATGTGTCAGGGCGTGGTGATGCACGCCTTTAATCCCAGCACTCAGGAGGCAGAAGCAGGTGAATCTTGAGTTCGAGGCCAGCCTGATCTAAATAGCAAGTTCCAGGCCAGCTGGGGTTACATAGTGAGAACTTGTCTCAAAAACCAAAAAAAATCAGTAAATAAACAAAAAAAACCCAGATTAGGGAGGGAGGGAGGGAGGGAGGGGGAGAGAGAGAGAGAGAGAGAGAGAGAGAGAGAGAGAGAGGAGAGAGAGGAGAGAGGAAGAGAGAATGTTTCATGGTGCAAATGTGGAGGTCTAAGGTCGATGTGCTGGAGCCTGTTCTCTCTCCACCATAGGGGTTCTGAGGATGGAACTCAGGCTGTCAGGCTTGGTACCAAATGCTTTTTTTTAAACCTGCTGAGCCATCTCAACAACCCCAGTAGCTTCGTTTATAAAATACAATTTCATGGATTTGCATAACTTAGTTTGTGGGCTTTGAAATAGTCATGTTACCTGTGGGGTTTTAACTTTTTGGTGTATTGGGAGCTTTAGTCTTCATCCTCCATGTGGACTTGACCTTTATGATTATTTCCTTTTAAAATGACCGGCGAATCATCAGCTATGATATTGTTAAAATAATAAATTTTGCGGGGCTTGATGGTGCATGCCTTTGATTCCCAACACTGCCTCCCAGGCAGAGGCAGGCGGATGTCTGTGAGTTCAAGGCTAGCCTGATCTACGTAGCGAGTTCCAGGCCAGCTGGGGCTACAGGAAGACCTTGTCTCAAAAAAAGACACCCCCCCCCAAAAGAAATTTCTATTAGGGAAATTTCATTTCCTTAGCTCAGCTGCTCTCTAGGACCTTTGGAGAAGAAAGTGTGTGATGTGGAAGGGAATCCAAAGTGAAGACAGGATCTCCCTGTGCTCCTGCTTATGATTTGACTTGCCAAGTGCTAAGGGTATTTTTGTTTTTTAGATGGATTTTAATTTTTAGAGCAATGTTAGTGACAGCAAAGCTGAGTAGAAAGTGAGTTCCTCCATACCTCAAACCCAGCGCACTGTAGACCACCCACAGCATAGCACACAGCTTTTATAATTAAGATAATCTTCTATAGGGCATTCTTTTTACATTTTGTATTGAATTTTTGTGATTTTCATACAATATAATTAGATGGCATTAGATCTGCTTCCCTCTCCCTACCTCCCCCTACTGCCCTCTACCCAATTTAATGAGCTTTCACATATATATATACACATACATACATACATATGGCCTATAGAATATGTTTGTGTCCCCCAATGTCCTTCAGAGTGTGGGTCCATGCACTGGGCCCACCAGAGTCCCAGTCCTGTAAAGCACATCTCGCCTCCTTCCAGCAGCCATCAGGTTGGGTTGGGATTACCCACTTCCCATGTCTGTGCTGGGATTTTGTCTGGTTTGAGTTTGCATGGGACTTGGGCGTGCTGTCACCATTGCTGTGAGTTCATATGAGTAACTGACCAGCCGTCTGGAAGACTCTGCCTCCTTGTGGTCATCCACCCCCTCTGGCTCTTGCAATCTTTGTGCTTCCTCTTCTGCAATGATCCCTGAGCCTTGGGAGGCAAAGGTTTGAAATAGGTGTCCTATTCAGGGATAAACACTCTGCAGCCTCTTGTTTTCTATAAGGATTTGTTTTATTTTTAATTAAGTGTGTGTGAATGTGTGTGTATGGGTTATGTACATGTGAGTGCAGTGCCTATGGAGGCCAGAAGAGGGCATTGAATCCCCTGGTGCTGGAGTTGCAAGCAGTTGTGAGCCACCTGGCATGGGTCCTGGGAACTGAAGTCAGGTCCGTCCTCTGGAAGAGCAGTACGTGTTCTTAACTGCTGAACCATCTTTCCAGCCTCTCAAGATTAATTTTTATTTATTTTTTCAAATACTTATTTTATTTGCCAGATGTGGTGGTGCACACCTTTAGTCCCAGCACTCAGGAGGCAGAGGCAGGTGGATCTTTCAAGGCCAGCCTAGTCTATATAGGGAGTTCCAGGCCAGCCAGGACTATACAGTGAGACTTTGTCTCAAGAAAATCCCAATTATTTTATTTGTGTGTGTGTGTGTGTGTGTGTGTGTGTATTTGTATGAAGGTATGTCCATGTGTGTGCATGCCTCTCTGCTCATGGAAGCCAGAAGAGGGTGTCAGACCCCTTGGAGCTGGAGTTACAGGTAGCTTTGGGACACCTGATTTATTGCATGGGTGCTGAAATCTGAACTCCAGTCCTCATGATCACACAGTGATCACTCTTAACTGCTGAGTCATCCCTCCAGCCCAAGGCTGATGTTTATAAGCAAATAGGTCAGTCAGTATGGAAATTGTACTGCTTGTCCCAAAGTGCTACCTATTGCACACAGCTGCTTATATACATCATTAAAGTAGCTTTGGAACTTATATTTGCATCACAGAGGAAATTAATATCATTTCTTTGTCATGCTTTTTAAAAATATGGCTTAGTTTAATTATTGAACCAGGCTTGGTGGTACACGGCTATAATCCCAGCACCTGGAGGTAGAGGCAGGTGGATTAGGAGTTTAAGGCTAGCCTTTGCTATATAGTATGTTTGAGGCCAGTTTGGGCTACAGGAGACTCAGTTCCAAAAATCTGAAAAAAAGTTAAATTATATTTATTAGCCTTGGCATTTGACAACCTGTCAGTTACTTACACAAATTTCATTTTCCTCATAGTCAAGTTTTACGGACACCTGAGTTTATTTTAAAAAAGACTGTGTAGACCAGACATAGGGCATTGTCAGTGTTATTTCTGTGTACGGTTGCTGTCACAATCTCCCCAGTGGGTGGGTCAACTAGGTGTGATTCATCTTTTTGTTCTTTGCACCTGTAAGTCCTTTTGCTTACAGGAGCCTCCAGGCCCACTCAAAATCGGATGCTCTTTACCTAATTCTCTTTCTTTTAATTGAGTTCAAATACTCAGAGCGCACATAGTAGTCAGTTCTCTTAGTGCGAGCTGGTCACCAATATTTAATACCTGCTTTACAGGAGAGTTAACTGAGACAGATAAGATCAAATTGTGTCTGGCTGCTGGAAGATGTTCAGTAAATGAAGATGCAGGAAAGCAGCCCATGGTTGCTGTTTCAAAGGATAGAACACATGCTTGATGTTGAAGTTCTGATATGGTTGGTTGGGAAGCAGATCCTCTTATTTTATGGTCCTGTCTTGTGTATTAGCTGTCGCTTGTCCATCTTTCCTCTTGCCACTGAGAATTGTGATTGCTGGCCTTGGTTATTTTGATGTGTCATGAGCACTTTTCATTGCAGAGAGAGTGGACTCCAGAGATTGTTGTTTCAGGACACTTCGATGGTGTCCAAGACTTAATGTGGGATCCAGAAGGAGAATTTATCATCACTGTTGGTACCGATCAGACAACTCGCCTTTTCGCTCCATGGAAAAGAGAAGACCAGTCACAGGTAGGATGTCTTCCTCTTTAACTTAGGGTCTTCCTTCCACTTGAAAGAACTTCCAAGTGGGCTTGCCTTTTGTTAGCTCTTAGGAAAACACAGGCCAAAACCTTGATGAGATACAACTGTACAACCTGTAGATCAGAAAAACTGAACTTCTGACAATGGCAAGTGCTGGTGAGGATGCAGAGGGACCAGCGTGTCCATCTGGTACTGGCAGGAAAGCAGAACTACCCAGCACTTTGAACACAGTTTGGCATTTTCTAAAAAATCTTAAGTATCTTCTCTTTGCAATTCAAAGATAGCTCAGTGTGGCAGAGATACCACAGTGTGGTGGTGCCTGCACAAAGACAGCCTGACTCTTGGGGTCATTTAAAATCAGCCTAATCTGCTCTCAGAACTTGTTCCTTCTGATTTCTCTGGGAGCTGTTCCTCCAGCCAAGGGTGTACTCTTTTTTCTTTATTTAAACAGTACATCCAACATGACTTGGGAAAGGAATGAAGAGCCTGTCTTTCGAGGGAAGGATTTTCCCTTTCTGACCCCCTCCTGACCCAGAACAGCATACACAACCACAAAGAGCCATCTCATCCCACCCAGTGTTTGCAACATTAGCTAGGGATAGTTCGTTGCTTCCAACATTGCTGTTTCACACTGATGTTTTCATAGCACGAGCACACACATTATTCTGGGCATGGTCAGGGAAGGGTCATAGGGAGAAACAGCTAGCATAATCTAAGATTTAAGCTTTGTTTAGCTTAGCTTGTAAAAGTTGATACAAGAGGAGGAGCCCAAGGCCTAGGAAAAGATTGTTTGCATTGTTTTCCTAAAGTCCCTAGATTTAAATAAGCTGATTGCACAGTAGGAAGACAGATTCAATAGTGTTAATTGATCTCTAAACATAAGATTAACTTTGGTTACAAGGTTAGGTAAAATTCCCATTTATAACAGAAGATAGTCCCAGAAAAATCATTCCCATGGTTCAGAGTACGTCATATGAGTGGCCTCCACATGCATACTGTGGCATGCGTGAGCAGGTGCACACATATTCACAAAATAACTTTTAAAGATGTAATTAAGAAAAAGTCATGTGGTTAGAACATTTTGTCGTAGTTCTTGTGATTTGTTGCCAGCATTGCTCATTAAGTAATTTTGCATCCAATACTTTGCTTATTGAAAAGAACTGGTTTTTGAAACATAATTTCTATTCTACTGTGTTTTAATCCCCAGGTGACTTGGCATGAGATTGCAAGACCCCAGATACATGGATACGACCTGAAATGCTTGGCAATGATTGATCGGTTTCAGTTTGTGTCTGGAGCAGATGAGAAAGTTCTTCGAGTTTTTTCTGCTCCTCGGAATTTTGTGGAAAGTTTTTGTGCCATTTCGGGGAAGTCGCTGAGTCACGTACTTTGTGATGTGGGTATTCCTCCAAATGTTTTACTTCAGTCATTTTCTTTCAAGTTTAAAAAGTTTTTGCTTCAGGTCATAAATACGGTATATGGTAGAAAAGAAGTTCTATGTTGTTGTTTTGACAAACCTCTTTTAAATTTTATTTTATTTTTTTATGTGTATGAGTGTATTGCCTGCATGTATATAAGTGCACCCATGCCATGCAATACCCATGGATGTTAGGAGGCAGTGTCAGATCCCCTGGAACTGGAGTTACAGATGATTGCTAGCTGTCATGTGGGTTCTGGGAACTGAACCTGGGTCCTCTGCAAGAGCAGGCAGTGCTCTTAACCACTTAGTCATCTCTCCAGCCCGATTCAACAAACTTGTACACAATGTGGTATGCAGTGACTTAAATATTAAACGGGAATTTTGTGTAGCAAATGAGTTCAAGACACTAAAGCAGTAATATCACATTCACTTGAGGCATAGATATTGTATGTGGTTTCTGCAGTAGGTGCCTATGATATAGAGGATGGGCTCCATTTTTATGAAGATTACCATCTTTCTGGAGGGTAGGGATGAGGGTAGGAAACTAATGAGACGAGACTAGTTAATTGCTAAATCTTATGAAACTAAGTTGTAAATGGAAGAGGTCACTGAATTGGCATAGTGAGAATATTTTAATGAGACTTCATTTATATTATAGTATGTTTTTATTTTTGCTGTTTATACTTACCTTCTACAAAGGATTTGAGCTACTCACAAAAATACATGAATTTGGCTTTAGAATATGGCTCAGGGGTAGAGTGATTGCCTAGCATGTGCATGGCCCTTGGTTTGATCCCTAGCACTAAAAACAAAAACAAAAAAAACCAACAACATGGATTCTAAAATTAAAAGCAATTTAGATGGAAGGGAAATAAAGTCAGCAGACAGTTCCGTTACTGAGACAATGGCTGTATTACACATAAATGCATATTAACAGTTCGTTACTGGGAGTTGGGTCCCAGGCAGAAGGCAGGAGTGAGCAGGGGGAGGCCAGAGCTATTGGAGAGAAGAGGGAAATGGAGAGCTGAAGGTCAGGTGCTGTGGTCCCTGGTGGCAAGTGCAATTGAGATTGGTGGTGGTTTAAGAATGCTGTGGAAAGCAGTTTGGAACAAATCGCTGTGTGAGAGCCCCAGACCGAAGGCTGTGAAACCAGCCGCAGTCTGGGAAAGAGCAGAAGAAATGAGCCACAGAAGTGAGGTGCAGCTCCAGTTCTGGAGTGAGCGCTGGGCTTTGTGCTTATCTAACAGGCATTTGCTTTGTTGCTTGTTTCTGATAATGGATCATGATGAACAGTTGGAATAAGTTCCAAAGGGAGGTGTCCATTGTGATTACATAGAGCTCAGCCTTTGTGGGTAGAGGGACAGTTAGTTTCAGTTTCTGTCCAGTTCTAGGAATTGAAGTGGGGTTTTCTGGGTTCCATGAAAGGCTCAGCCTCAGGAGCATGCCTGGCTCCATGTCCTGGGACGCAGGGGTGCTGTCGGCTAGCGTGGCTCTCACTCTTTGGTTTTGCTCCATACAGAATGCTGCTAAGCATCTGGGAATGCTTTCCACTCTCCCACAGTGTGTTGGGTTAAAGCTTGCAGCTCCTCGTGTCCAGGTGGCCATATCCAGTGACTTGGAGGGTTACATTCATATACTCATGTGTCTAGTTCCAGCCTCTATTAAAGCTTAATTGGTAAGAAACACTCAGCATATGACTGTGTGCCAGTACTGATGGCTAGCATATGGTTTCACATGTGACAAACTGATCTCTTCTAGTACAGGATCTAGAGTGTTGCCTCTTCAACAAGAAGTTTTAAAGTAGCTTTCAATTATTTACATATATGTGATAAAAAAGTACTGTGACCGTGCCTTCTCCGGTCACATCCGAGTGTCTCCGGATGTCCTTGAGGCTTTTGTGGAGGACAGCTCTGCGTCCTGCTTTTCAGCTGTCTCTACTTGTCAGACCCTGAAGCCCACTGAGCTGTGGGGTCTGGTGATTATGATTACGGATTGGGTGATGCAGGAGCAAGGGCCTGCCTGTGAGAGGGATGGCTCAGCTTGGCATCTGTTCAAGAGCTGGAAGAATGGGCAGACAGCCACACAAGGCGGGCTCAAAACCTTCTCAGCATTTATGAATATGACTTCTTTGTCGTGCTTGAGGTAACAGTAACTTTAGCACTTAACACATACAATCATGTTTTTCATTCTAGCAAGACCGGGATCGTCCAGAAGGAGCCACTGTCCCTGCATTGGGACTATCAAATAAAGCTGTCTTTCAGGGTAAGGCCTGGATCTCTAGAATTATTAAGTCCACACTGTTCTTAAAACCTAGTTACAAGCTTGTGTAATGTGTCCCTGATATTCACTGTGGCTAGTTTTTAAGAATCACAACACGTATCTTCTGAATCACATACTCTGTGACCACTGCTCAGTGTACATGGGGACCACTAACATGGGTGCACCTTTCACCCAGAATTTCACAGGTGTGATGATGTATAACCTGAGGAATCAGTCATGCATCTAAAAAGGCCATGAGCTGTTGGGGAAAGAAATAGAGCTGACTCACACTTGAGGAGCTAGCTTGGAGATTCCTAGAGTAGAAATGCCCCCACTTTGGAATCTCACAGGCACGGCTCTGAAATACACTGCTTTAAAATGTGATGCTAATGGGTGGCTTGGCGTTGACAGCCTGGAAGACAGGATAGCAGCTCCACTCATGGTGTCCATGTCTCTCCCAACTAGGAGACATGGCTTCTCAGCCTTCTGACGAAGACGAGCTGTTGGCTGGTTTCAAGTATCCCCAGGTGGCCTTTCAGCCCTCCATCCTTACTGGTAAGAAATGACAGAAAGATGATTTGATAAAATCAGTAGTGCACACAGTATTGAGTCTTTGGTTGCTGACCTAAATAGAGCTATGCAGTTTACTTTTCTATTTGGCTAAAAATAGAAAAAATAATTGTAGTGTTAAAAATTTATTATAGAATTAAAATTTTATTGTAGAACCTCCTACTGAGGATCATCTTCTGCAGAACACTTTGTGGCCTGAAGTTCAAAAACTGTGAGTTGAATTGTGCACTTGGCACGAGTCCATCATACCTGTAGGGTTTTTCCGTGTGACTTGACTTTCTCCTTCCCCTTCCTCCTACCTGCATTTTCCTCCTGCTGCTCAGTAGAACTTCATAGAGTGAGAATCAAACTCCATGTCGATTTCTGTAGTGTTGTTTATTATGCTTATTAGTTGATTGGTCTGAGTTTTGTCAAACAGGGGAGTATAATAAGGTATGTGCTTTTCTGTTTGTTGTTGACCTTTTTTTTTGTCCTTGCTGGTTCCCATCAGCAGGTTTCCATGGTTGTTTATAATAAGTACTGGCTAGGATCAGAGATAAAAACTTGAATGTTAATCTGATCGTTTGATGAAATGTTACATTTGGAACCTGTCATTTTTCTCTGGTCTGTTTTTTCCTAACTATTTCCCTAGGCAAAACTGAGATGTTCCCTTAAAGAGTTATGTGAGGTCGAGAATGGTATCTTTCACTTTTAAGGGCCACAGCATGAGGACAAGTGGATTCCTCATCCGTACAGACATCATGTGTTTTCTCTTAATTTTAGGTATGGACATGGCTATGAAATATATTGTGTGGCTTGTAACGGTTCAAAGACTCTGCTTGCCTCTGCTTGCAAGGTAGGGTGGTCTTTTCCTTTGGTAGAGATTTAGGCAGAATTCCTGTGAAAGACTGCTGGTGTCTTCTTTTCCTGACTCTTCCTTAAGTTCTGTCTCCCTTGTCTCCTTTTAAAAACTTGTTTGTGGGCTGGAGAGAGGGCTCAGTGGTTAAGAACACTGACTGTTCTTGCAGAAGACCAGGGTTCAAATCCCAGCACCCACAGGGCAGCTAACAACTGTCTGTAACTCCAGTTCCAGGGGATCCGACAGCCTCTTCTGTCCTGAGGGCATTGCACGACACGGGTGCACTTACCTACATGCAGGCATAACACTCATACACATAAAATTAAAAAAATAAAAGTAGC